TCCAGTCTTGGCACATCTTCCGCCGTCAAAGTTGCCAGCTACAATGCGGTGGCGGTGGCAATACCCAATCCATTCCCATCGAAATGGGAATGTTGTTCTATGATGCTTTTTGAACCTCTTAAATTACGAAGAGTCATATGATGTTTGGTAGCCATGAAGAAATGCTTTGCGTTCGGAGGTTCAAGAATTGCCGTTGATTGGATAAATGGGTTATATTTCCCCGGTATTCTACCTAGTTTCAAGAATCGGGGCTCTGGTTCTGGTCCATTTTTTTCACGTGCTGTGAATGATCTTGTCTTGTCTCAGAATTATTGCATCTTAGGTGAATTTAGAATCTTGTGACAGCTATTATTCCAAAGCACCCACAGTACTGTAGCATCGCATATGGTGTTAGGAAAGGTCGGCCTCTTCCAAATAAAATAAATATTGAATTGGAGACTAGATAGACCATTGAAGGAAATTCTTTTACCTCCGAAGTAATTAAATTGTGGTTCTGATTGTGGAATTTATTGTATAACCCGTAAAGTTCAATTGAGTTGCTCAAATATCTTGAAATGCTAGCCTTAAAATTTCCAACCTTGCATCCTAATTGCTTTTGGTTCTGATATTGAGTGTGCTCTGCCTTTTTTACTTGTTTATGAACCTAACAGAACGAGCTTGTGTTGCCATATTCATGGTTTTGGGTATTTTCTTTTGTCAAGTTTAAATTTTTATATCAAGTTAATGCAAATTGTGTAATTATGTTCTTCTTTTTTATGTTGAACTATGGCTTCTGCATTTACTGTGTTAGGTTTTTTTCAGGAACTTGCTTCTAATTCACCCATCTGGCTTTGTTCTTCAAGTAGTAAAGAGGAGTTGTGTTTTTCTGGGTTGAGTCATGTCAAACTGAGACATACTACGTCATTGGATGTACCATTTTATCAGGAATGAGTTAGTCTTGCCTGAATTATTTGAGGGAATATTTCTGCATGATTCCACTTTGTCTCTGTCAATCAAGTCGTGGGGTATTGGACAAAGATTGTTGTGCCTCGTAAAAATATTCTAGAAGTTGGACATCACTTAATGAGGCAAGTGCGACATTTACTGGTTTGTTGAAGAAAGCAATTATGTCTACCACTAATGCACCATGTGCTTACATTAGGCTCTTTTATGTTGATTTTACACGTTCCCTACATGTCAAAATGCGAGATGGACCTGAATTTTCGTTTTTTGGTTTTCCTCTGTTTTCCTGTAGGCCTAGATATATAAGAGGTTAAACTTTCTGGAAGTTGAATATGATGCGACAAGTTGATAGTCGATATGAACAGCGATTTGTTGAATTCTTTAGCCATTAGACTTGTTTAAAATCTACCCAATACTAGCTCTTCAGTTGTTTATATATCTTGATCATTTAACAATTTTGACGATTCTGTATGTTCATGATCCCAAGTGACTTACAATCTGAATATTGAAGTTTTGAAGATTTGTGGGCCAAGGGGCCATTTCTTTCAAAGCTAGAAATTTTGCATATGCTCCAGTGGAAGATTAGTTACTCAGGGTGGATTCTGTTGAAAATGGATGAAAATGAAAGCATTTTATTGTTGCACGCGAGATGGTTCAATCTTCTTCCTCTTCTTTTGCCATTCTTGATGCACTTACAAAAGATGGTGTCCCTTCACAATAAGATGGAAATGCTTGTTTCTCACTTCTAAACACAGAAGTCTATGTGCTGTTTGCCGCTGTGTGTAAATTAATTACTTATCTTTTATTTTATCTCTACAGTAGCCCAATCCTAGCACAGTCTAATGAAATTCCAAAAGTGACCTGAACCTTGCAGAAGGTACAACTTGTCCCTTCAGAGGGTTTTAGTCTCTCAATGAATAGGTAATATTTGTGACTGTCTGTGCATTCATTTATGCTTTATAGAAGAGGCCGGTTTCAGAAACTTGTTTGTTAATTTCTTTCTGTGCATGGTTTGACATTTTAATTTTGCATTTCGCTTCACATTAGTTTGAGAGAGTTTTGAGCAAGTTAAATGGGATTACTTGGAGCTAATTCCTTTCTCTTCATATAAAATGCATATAAGTAAGTAAAGTAGATTAATGACGCATTGCTCATGTCATTTCGGCGTGTGTTTGACATAAAATTGCAGCAATATATAGTATCGCTTTTTTTTTTTTTTACTTTGTTGGGATGGCGACTCGCTCCTTTTGTTTCTCTTTTCCTGATTCCTGAGGCCATATTAATCTTCTCATCTTCTTTCCATGGTATTGGATTTGTGAAATCTCCTCTCGATTGGGTCCCTTTAAAGAATAATAATCGATGAGAGGCACCTTTGCTTAAGTGACTTTTGATTCACCGGACCTTCTCCTACAGACCTAATTAAAAAATGCATGGACCCGTTTGGCATCATCCCAGAATCTACTTTACCTGTCATGGAATAAATTAAAGCAAGAACGGAGCCTTCAAGTACAGCAGCTGGTTAAAGAGAAAGGTACTTCAATAACTCTTCCTTCTTTTCTTGTTTTTCAAACATTCGGGCCACATATCGTAAAAACTTTTTCAATAATTTTTATTCCTTTCTTTGAACATGAACTATGAAACTTACCACTAAGGAATGAGCTTAGTTAGTCTTAGGAGTGAAGCAGATGCTTGCTTAGGAAGAACTTGCTGTTAAAATGGACCTACCAATGCATTGGATCCACCACATTGGTCTTTTTGTTAAAGTTTTTATTTTTATTTATTTATGTTTTTAATTTTTATCTAATGGAATGATGATGGTAGTAAAAATACAATGACCGGACTTTTTCACTCTTTTCCTCACTGTAAGATGTCCAAATGGCCGTTGATAAAAATGGCAGGCTGAGTCAACTGATGGAAACCTTGAGGTAATAACAAGACAAACAAACTATACGTGTATTCTACTTTCTCTGTTAATTAATTAAATATAGCACTGTTGATATTGCAATTGCTTGTTTAAAGTATTGCTTTAGTATCTAACCTTCTTCACCTTTGAATCCAGGGAAAGTGATTAGTGCAGCAAGGCAACTGATTGTGTGGCACTGATCAGATGCAATTCTTTGGAGATCAATCATTGGATTTTGATTCCATTGATAAAAACTCAAGACCGCAACCCAAGAAATCCGAAGATCGATCTGATTCAATCGACTTTTACGATTTGTTGTTGGCCATTTTGGCTTCCCTTTTTCTTTTTCTTTTTCTTCCTTATCTGGGTGAAAACTTCTTCTCTCAGTTTCAGCATGGATAGGGACTACAGACTTAAAGCCAACATTTCCTTTGGAATATATTTCTTTTTTCATGCATGAAGAGACTTTTATGCCGAGCAGCCCAGCCTGGTATATTATTTTCATATTACTAAAGTCTGCTCTTGGCTGCTGCCATAAAATCTGTGGACCTTTTTGTCATTTCATTCTGTCTATGCATTTGTGACTTCCACAGTCACATACACTCGGAAAGAGAGAGATAAAAGAGCCAAAACAATGTTGTTGCTTCATGTCAACAAGTACCGCTGGATGGTTAGTTGTGTTGCTTTTGCATCACAACCACCATGAAATGTTCGATGAGTTTCAGATATTGTTAGTTATGTTGCTTTGTATCACATCCATCCAGGACTGTTGGTTTAGCTTCTTGTTTACTTTAACATACCATTGCATGACAGGCAACTTTAGTTTTCATTTTGCTTTTCTTTTTCTTTTTCTTTTTTATTATTATTTTGAAATAGTTCTCCTGTTAATTAATTAGTAAAGATAGGATTGGATGTGGAAAGAAAAAATAAAAATAAAAGAAGGGATCAATTAATGCACACGAAAACTCAATTTCCACCAGATGCTTTCTTGATTTTTCTGAGATTCCATCGGATAACTGTTGTGAAAGGAAACAAAGATGGGTTGGGCTTGAATATACTTCAAAAGAAAATAAAAAAAATGGACATCTTGTGGCAACAGCCGGATGCTAAGCGATGGCATATAAGCAACTGGCTCTATGTAATATAAAATTCCGAGCCTAAGATTCCCTGTGTGACTGTAAACAGATGGTCTTGCACATCAGTCTCTCTTTTTGGTTCAATTTTTTCCATATAAAAGAAAATGTACTATGGGGCGATTACATTTGTATAGTTTATCTGCTCTTCATTATAATAAGATGGCTGATTTTATTCACTTTTTAAACGGAACTTGTTTATTAGAAAAATAAGGCAGCTTGGGTCCTAAAATCTAAGGTTAGATTCTTTGATTCCTCCAACCCCACAAAGAACAAAAAGAATCTGCCAATCACACTACAGCCTGCCCGAAGAAGAAAGAAAATAGGAAAAGAGAGTGAAATTAAAAGAAAGAAAGAAAGAAAGAAAGAAAATAGGAAAAAGAGAGTAAAATTAAAAGAAGGAAAGAAAGAAACACCCATTTGGTTTTCCCTTTCAGTCACCAAAAAGAAATATCCATTATTACAAATTCCCATCAACATATTTATTTTTCTTCAAAGCTTCTCAGTGTTAGGAAAGTTGCACCCATTATTCATCATCATGGTGGGTCTATCTAACTCAGCAGGGAATCAAGCACAGAGAGAGAGAGAGAGAGAAGGGGAGGTGGGAAAACAGGAAGATAAAAACAAACCATACACTTTTCTTCTTTCTCTCCTTTTGAGAGACTCAAATTGAAGTGTGTTGCTTTCTCTGTTTTTGCTGCACAAGAGATTCTCTCCCTCTCCCCTTTCAAGTCAAAGAAGAAAGAAGGAAATTTAAGAAAAAGAAAAGTTAGTATGAAATGGGAGGTGGGAGAAAGGAAGTGCCACAGCTCATAGCATATATTCCCTTCCAACATAACCCCACTTATGTTTCCGGATATGGAGTGAGAAACTAGCTAGGACAGCCCAACAACTCCAATAAATTTTCCCATTTCTCCAAAATTATAAAAGAGAACTACACAGCTGCCACCATTTTCAAGCATACCTAAAAAGGATCATAACTCATTTATGTTTCAGTCTTGTCTATCTCCTACAAAACAGAAATGGGTCTGCACCATCAAAATATGAACTTGGTTTTGTCCACTGATGCAAAGCCTAGGCTAAAATGGACTCAAGAACTTCATCAAAGGTTTGTTGAAGCAGTCAATCAACTTGGAGGTGCAGATAGTAAGTATTTCTATGACATCAATGGCCTTACTTATCAATCTTTTGTACAGAGCTCAAGGTTTCCTAATCTTTTCTACGATTACATATGTGCAGAGGCAACACCGAAGAGTCTGATGAGGGCGATGGGGATTCCTGGACTCACTTTGTACCACTTGAAGAGCCATTTACAGGCATTTCTCTTCAGAATGATTAGATCAACCCATGTTGCTTTTACAAATGCAGAAAAGCAAGATTGTGATTATATGTTTGCTTCTTGATGCAGAAATACAGGCTAGGGAAGAGTCAACACTCTCTGATCAGCATTGAAAACAAGCAAGAAGGTGATTCTAAATTATAAAGAATCAGATTAATAAACTGCTGCATAATTGGTTTTCTCATTTATATTCTAATGGGGTCTTGTTTTGTAGTTCTCTTTGTTGCAGATGACAAGGAGATTCAAAGTAGTGATGATCATTTCAAAGAGTCTAGCAGGGGAATCTGCAGTGATGGAAACCGCCATCCAATTGATGAGTAATAGTTGACATAATCTCTACCTGTTTTATGATGAACTTGTATTGAAATAATAACACAGAATTGTTTTTATTTACTCAAAATTTGATGTTCAACAGAAGCTTTGAGATTGCTCAGGCTCTCCAAATGCAAATGGAAGTGCAGAGGAAACTTCATGAACAGATAGAGGTAAGGCCAAGAAAACAACCCCTTCCTTCAAAACTCTTTCTCGGTCTATTTATCAGAACATGCGTACCCAGTTTAAATTTTCATTGCAGGTACAGAGACATTTGCAGCTGAGAATTGAAGCTCAAGGGAAATACTTACAGTCAGTGTTGAAGAAAGCACAGGATACACTGGCTGGATATAATTGTTCTTCTATGGGTATAGAACTTGCCAAAGCTGAGCTTTCTCGACTCGTCTCAATAGTTAATAGCGGATGTCCAAGTTCTTCAATATCAGAATTGACAGAAACAGGAGGTTCAAGCTTAAAAGACATAGAGAGGACACAAATGAGGAGTACAGTATGTTCAATGGAAAGCTCCTTGACGTCATCTGAGAGTTCTGGGAGAAAGGAAGATATGCAACAAAAGAATGAGATTCGTAACATCAACAAGGCCAATACAGCCTCTGCTGAGCTTCCTTTAATGGATATTCACCCCCAAGACAACCCATTGAATACTGGTTCAAATGATCAAGGGAAGAAGAGAAGTGGCAGTATCATTTCTGAAGGTGTTTCTGTAGAGCAGCCACTGGCTAGAAGATTGAAAAATGGTGATCAGCTGAGGTTGGGGATGTTTGATTTGAATAGCTAATAACAAAAAGAGATTGAATCAGGTTCGAAATGAATGGACTTAAATTGGCAGGGAATTGAACAACTCAATGGGGCACCTTCGGAGTTTGGGGCCTTTATACTTGAAGGGTTCTTCTACTAATATAGTGTATGCAGGAAAGTTACCTGATAGAGTTAAATCTTTGTTTATAAACTATGTATATTGGTATATGTATGGACCCCAAGATACTTTTGAAAGTATATCCATATCAAAAGATGGTGTAATATATATTGTGTGAATACATTCTCTTGGAAGTTATTTCTAAAACAGTCCCTCTCTCGTATGTATTTTTTTAGATATTAACAATTAGGGCATCCTTGGCTATATTTCATATACCACGACTAAGTTCTTTTCCTGTCCTTTTTGAGGAAAACTATCCACATTTGGGGTTTGATGACCTCTTCTTGGATTTGAACTAAATTAAGATGATAATACTGGAAATGAATCCAATTACCAACTTTAGCTAAATTTTTACACAAAACTTGGCAGTTCACGTCATGAATATCACATATGCTCTATATTCAACATCTATGACTTTTAACTCCAATTTTAGCAAAAGTCCATCAAAGGATTGGACCCAAATTCAATCTTTTCAACCAGTTTTGACTGATAACCGTGCTACTCAGGATCACTCCAGTGATTACTTAGGACTTCCACTAAAATTGGCTTGAGAGCGAGGAGGGAATTTATTAAGTTGCTCAACGGCTTCGGAACCAAAAAGGCATATATATATATATATATATATATATATATAATGATTTCTAAGAAACACCTCAGAGGAAGAAATCATTATTGCTGCAAAATCATTCAACAGAGGATGAATCATTAGCCAAACCATGCGTAAGCTTAATTAAATTAACGTTCAAGGAACTTCAATCAATTAATTTGCTAGGCCTGCAAACTCAATCATTAAAACGGACCACACAAGTCAATATATGCTGCTAAGTTTCTCCTCTTTCTTCAGCATGCCTTGAGAAATAGAAACTGGAAGTACGAGAATGGAGCTTCCACACATTATTCACAGACACTGTCTTTTCACAGCTTTTATATTTCCTTTACTTGTTAATTTGTTCCATTCTTTCCCATCGATACAAGGTATGCAACTTAACGAAACAGATTCTCTGAGTTATGACAGCTTCCATTTGGAAGCCTAAAATTCATTCTATTTTAATTTCCTTCATTCATTGTAGGAAAAAATCTTCCCTGCTTCACATCAGATGTCGAAGAGGTCTCAGGTAAGTCCTTTGATTACATTGTTGTGGGAGGAGGAACAGCTGGTTGCCCCCTAGCGACAACTCTTTCAGAGAGATTCTCTGTGCTCGTGATAGAACGGGGTGGATCGCCTTATGGAAATCCCTTGATATCAGACAAGATGTACTATGGTTTCCCATTGATCCAAACCGATGAATTTTCATCGGTGGCTCAAAGCTTCGTATCGAAAGATGGAATTGCGAGCCATAGAGGACGTGTGCTTGGAGGAGCATCTGCTATAAATGGTGGGTTCTATAGCAGAGCTAGTGATGATTTTGTTAGAACAGTTGGATGGGACGGAGAACTAGTGAAGGAAGCTTATGAATGGGTAGAGTCTAAAATTGTTTTCAAGCCTGATTTGACCATATGGCAATCTGTCGTAGAATTCGGTCTTCTTGAAGCAGGAATTTTACCTTACAATGGATTCAGCATGGAACATATAGAGGGAACAAAGATTGGTGGTACTTTGTTTGATGATTATGGAATAAGGCACACCTCAGCAGATCTTCTTGAGACAGGGAATCTAGAAAACATCACCGTTCTTCTGAATGCAACTGTCAAGAACATCATCTTCCATGGCAATGGTAAGCAAAGATATCTGTAGATAGTGTTTCAAAGAGATTACAGGCTCCCGTAGGTTAATAGGAACAGATTTTAATTGAATTTGTGCTAAAAATGCTCAGTTAATCAATTTGTTGAAGCTTGAGTTGCCTTAAATTTGTGCAGGTAAGGGAAACGAGAGCATAGTCCGTGGTGTTAGGTTCATCAAGAGCGATGGCAGCACAAGCCAAACGTATGAAGTTTACCTGAATCAACCAGAAAATTCAAGTTCATGGGGAGATGTTATTTTGTCAGCAGGAGCACTAGGCAGTCCTCAAATCCTTTTGTTAAGTGGCATTGGACCAAAACAGCATCTAAAGAACTTGGGTATCCCATTTGCGTTGGACTTACAAGGGGTTGGGAAAGAGATGAAAGACAACCCTGGCATTGCCCTTTTGGTGGACACCAAACCAGTATACCGATTTCCAGATGCACCTCAAGTTGCAGGCATAACAAAAGACTTGAAATTCATTGTTGAGGGGGCATAATACCAATAAGCTTCAATGCAACACGGGTGCCAATTGCAATCAAGCTTGCATTTCCAGAATCAAAAGGCAAGCTGGAATTGAGCAGCACAGACCCTAGGCAAAATCCTGCAGTGGAATTCAAATATCTAGAAAAGGAAAAGGATTTAGAGGAATGTGTGAAGATGGCTCGATTACTTAATAGAATAGCAAGGTCACACTCTGTTGCTCTGTTCCTAGGTACTGAACCACAAAACAATTTGGTGTCTAGTCCAGATGAGCTGAAAATTTTCTGCAAGAAAAATGTCAGGACTTATTATCACTATCATGGTGGCTGCACTATTGGTTCAGTCGTGGACGATGATTATAGAGTATATGGGATAAGAGGGTTGAGAGTAATAGATGGCTCAACATTCTTGGAATCACCAGGCACAAATCCAATGGCCACCCTCTTAATGCTAGGAAGGTATCAAGGGATCAAGATTGTCAGGGAAAGGGAGAAACTTCTGTAAGTTGTAGCCCCTCACAACTGTAGGAAACTCTCAAATTCAACTATATGTATAAGCATTAAAAAAAAAAAATGTCAAAAGAGTTTTTTCGTTGTTCGAGTAAATACAACTGCTGAAATCAATTCAATGTAAAATTTCTTTGAAATTCAGCAACCTGTCGAGTAATTTCAACATTTGACCAAATCCAAACTCACAATTATGTTAATGTTAATATACAAGGTTGAGGAGCCAGTACACCATTTTCATAAGTCATTCTGCCATTTCTTATATTCTTCAAAAATTTGGAACTTCATATTCGTGTGAGGAAATTCTACACCACTCCTGCATATTCCGGCACTTTTTGGTTAAGTTACATTACCTAAGTCCACCGGCAAGGGTGGGGCTTAACAAGAAGCGGCCAAGTTGGAGAATTAGAATAAGGTTTGGGTCAATTTCACAGCCCATTAATTGTTTATTTACACTTGAATCCATGCCCATAATTTTGGATAAGAGTGAACTGTAATAGGTTAAAACTAATTAATTGAATCCAACTGAAATCAAAATACAAATTTAGTTTGGTTTTTAATTAAATTTGATAATTAAAAACATGAAACCGAATTTCATTTTCGCTATTCAGTCTTGATTGCTTTTTTAAAATATTAATTCAGTTTCCACCAAAACTTAAATTAAATCATATATATATATGAATTTTCTGTTGTTATTTAAACTTCGATAATTTAGTTTACAACATATTTGAATAATTAATTAATTTTTATTATTATATATTTTAAATGTAGATTAATGGACTTGTATTTTTTAAAAATATATTTATTATCTTTCATATAGATTAATTTGGATAATTTGAACTAGAAAAAGGACTTCATAGTCCATAACATATTTTCTTTTTGGGCTATTTATATTATTTTAAACAGTTATTAAAAAAAATAATTTTGAAAAAAACTGAATAGATATTCGGTTTAGATTTAGTTATTTCTTTGGTGAGTTCTATTAACCGAAAAGTGAATCAAAATATTAAAAATCAAATATTCATTCCCTAATTATGAGTTTAGGAGGTGAGTCTAGGATGATATATTATGCTAGTTAAGTGACCTATAGGTGAACACGATGGTGTTTTTAAAAATACACACATTTTTGTTGTTTTTTAACCCTTTTTCTATATATATATTTTTTGTAATCAAATTAAATTCACAAATTAATAAATAGTATAATTAATAAAATACATACATGTAGTTGGGAAAATAAAAAATATATATTATTAATAGCACCATCAACTATGATCAACGTTTATTGTAACAATCAAATACAAATAAAACATCAAAATACACTTTTAAATACAAATTAACCCAAATTCAAGTAAAAAGAAAAAGAAAAAAAAACGTCCATCAGTTTCCTACCTTTTTTTTTTTGGACTAAATTTAGTGAATTTTATTTATTTATTTTTCTAGAAAGATTGGGACGTTAGTTCTACCGTTGTAGAAGTTGTTTATTTTTTCAAAATACACATAGTATAAGCATGTAGTTTCCTTGAGTAAATTATAAATTAGTCCCTCTGGTTTTGAGAAACAAATTAATTAGTCATTCTAGTTTTAAAAACTAATTATTTAATCTTTTTGCTATTTTTTAATTATTTTGATTTTTTTTAAGAAATAGAAAAGGGAACAAAAATTAAAAAAAATTCATGAAAATAGAAAACATTTAAAAAATATTAAATTAGTCATGATCAACACTTGTTAAAAGAACTAAATAATTAATTTTTGAAATTAAAGAGGCTAATTAATTCCATTCTTGAAACAAGAATGACTAATTAGTTTCTTTACATAAAATAATTGTAGCGATTTCAAATTAATATATAAATAAAAACGCATCTGGAAAAATGGAATGGTTTCCACCTAACCTAATCAAGAAGGGGTTCAATTTTAAACAAAAGTTGATCATATGCCAGGACAAAAGCACAGAAAACTCTATCAAAAGAGCGAAAAAACAGTTTCCTTATTGAAGGGCCTAGCCCACGAGTAGGAGATTGGGAAAAAAAAAAAAAAAGAAAGAAGCTCGGCTCCAACAAGTAGCCCAATGCCCGAAGCCATTCGGAACGGTGGGTCTTGATCCTAGAGTGCGCGTGAGAAGCACTCTTGTTCACGTTGAATATAGTCTATTTCTTTCCCGTGTTACATTGGGAATCCAATAAAACATTTATGAAATTATTTTAATTTGATAGCTCCATCATGTGATTTTATTAAATATATGGAATAAAAGATTCTTGTTTCACCAAATAATTCTTCAATCAAAATTTTATATTTAGTTAATTCTTGTTAATGTTTTTTCATAAATTTTTATCTAAAGAAATGTTTTTCTTTATACATGGATTCCTAAAAACATTGTAATAATTTAAACAAAAAATTTATTCCAATTTTTTTAAAATTTAAAAAATTAAAAATAATTTTTTTACTGACCAGCAGCATAGCACGGGCGATCAACTAATTGAAACTAAATTAGGCTTTAGATATATCATCCATGCTTGAAGTAATGCTTTTACAAAAAATCACATTATAAAACAAACTAAAGTAAAACATAGTTTTACTATTCATTTAACTATTTAAAACACTATTCACATACTCACAAAATAACTATTACTTTCACTATTTATATCATTTTTTAACGCTTTGGTCCTCAAATTTTTTAAACTTTTTTTTTCAATTTTAAACTTTAATTGTATTATGATTTGATCCTATTTTGTTTTAATTTTTTTTTGTTAATTATTTTTATTATTTAAAATTTACTATTTAAATTTTTCATTTTTAAAATTCTCTCTCTCTTTTTTTTTCAATTTCAAACTTTAATTTGTTAATTATTTTTATTATTTAAAATGTACTACTTTAATTTATCATTTTTTAAAAATTCTCTCTCTCTCTCTCTCTCTCTCTCTCTTTTTACAATTTCAAACTTTAATTATATTGTGAATTGGTCTCATTTTATTTTAGTGTTTTTTGTTAATTATTTTTATTGTTTAAAATTTACTACTTTAATTTATTATTTTTTTAAAAAATAATTCTCATTCAATTATATTTACTTGACAATTTTTATTTATTTTTCTATTTGTATGGATTTTGAAATAAAGTTTTAGAACATAATTATTTTTTCTTTTGAAAAATAGATTTAGATCATTTCTAAATTATAGTGACATGATTAATATATATAATTTGTCTAAAATATATTTTTAGATTAAAAGTATATTTCAAATAATTTTTTCTCAGTTTTTTATATTATTTAAAATTTACTACATTAATTTTTCATTCTTTTTAAATTACTCTCTCTCTCTCTCTCTCTTTTCAATTTCAAACTTAGATTATATTGTGATTTTGTCCTATTTTGTTTTAGTGTTTTTTGTTAATTTTTTTTATTATTTAAAATTTACTACTTTAATTTGTTATTTTTTTTTAAATTCTCATCTAATTAATTTAAAATTATACTTACCGACAGTTTGATTTATTTTTCTATATGTACGGATTTTGGAATAAATTTTTATGACATGATTATTATTTTTTTTGAAAAATAGATTTAGATACTTTTTAAATTATAATGCCATGATTATATATATATATATATATATATATATATATATATATATATATATATAATTTCTCGAAATACATTTTTAGATTAAAAGTGTTTTTCAAATAATTTTTTCTCAAATTTGTTTATTATTTAAAATTTACTATATTATTTTTCAATTTTTTTTTAAATTCTCTCTCGTTTTTTTTTTCAATTTCAGACTTTGATTATATTGTAATTTCGTCTCATTTTGTTTTAGTGTTTTTTATTAATTATTTTTATTATTTAAAATTTACTACTTTATGTCATTTTTTTTAAATTCTCATCTAATTAATTTAAAATTATATTTATTAACAGTTTTGATTTATTTTTCTATATGTATGGATTTCGGAATAAATTTTTAGAACATGATTTTTTTTCTTTTGAAAAATAGATTTAGATAACTTTTAAATTATAGTGGCATGATTAATATATATAATTTGTCTAAAATATTTTTTTAGATTAAAAATGTATTTCAAATAATTTTTTCTTGATTTTTTAAGGAAAAAACTCAAATGAATTAATTAATAGTTGAAAGTCAAATGTGAAAAATAAAAAGAAGATGGTTGCTCTGTGCGTGAGGTCTATATTCAAGGACTAGCCATGCATAAAATAGAAATAAAAGATGTTTAAAAAGGAGGGAAAAAAAGAAAAAGAATTCACATGTTTTATTAATTAGTTTCTTCTTTATATAATCAAAATTATTTGAAATCAAATTTGTAATAATTTTTATTTTAGTTTATTAACTTTAAATTTAGTCAATATATTCCTTGCAAGTTAACTTTTTATAGTATTTTTTGTTTTAGATTGAAAACTCTAAAGTTGCTTAGTATAGTTATGATGTAAAGAAAAATATTGAATTGTTGTTTTTTAGAAATCAAGCTGTGCAACTACTATTACACTAAACATTTACTATTTATTTATTTATTTTTAAATATTTTTAAATTAACTTATTTTAAATTAAATAATTAAAATAATTTTTTGGCTTAATATAGTTTTTTTATTTTAATATTGTTCATTCTTTCGTAAAAAAATATATAAAAATTAAATTGACATTTTTTCAAAAACCGATATTCTCATCAACATTAAATAAAAAAATTATTTATTCAATTCTATGTAAGCTTTTAATAATTGTTATTTATTTTTTTCGACACAATCTTGTGAAATACTAAAACTTTTTTAAAAAAATTTATTTAATTTTATTTTTAGTTAATGATCTAGGTATTACACTACGGATGAATCCTCTTTCTAAATGATAAAAATTATGAAAAACACAAATAATAAATAGTGAAATATAAAATTTTTTATTAAATAATTTTTTATATATTAGATTTCATATATTTTTATAGATTCACATCAATAAAATAGATAATCAAACTGAAATGATTTTTTTAAATAATTTTATATATTTTATTCAATCCTTAGTGTAATACAAATATAAAAAATAAAATAAAATAGTGCAATCTATTTCAAAGGTACCTAGCATGCTTTATTATACTTGGGCTAAACTAACAGTTATGGACACCTTTAATTATCATTATTGTTGATGGTCATGGCATGCAATTGAAATACTAATTGTTAGTGTTTAGTTTCAAGACGTTTCTAAAGGTTATCGGTAGTAAAAACCTTTTAACTCTTAGTTTCTGGATTAAATTTTTTTTAATAATATTTAATATTCTTTGATCAAAACTACGTAATTGTTGGTTATAATAGCACATATTAAATTAAAAACATTTTTAGGTCTAAATTCATATTTAGTTGGTTATAAAAAAAATCATATAACGGTTTTTTCATTTAAAAGATATAATAATGAGATTAATTCTTTTGACCAAAATTAATTTCTATAATAAAAAAATACTTTTTATCAAAATAATTCAACAATAATTACTGTTTATATATATATATATATTAGGAAAAATAATTAATTTAAGACCCTCTAGCCTCCCTGACTTTGACGCTGCTAGGAGCGTGTGCGTCTGAACTCTTAACCATACGATTTGATTGACCTGTCTCGCAGCTTCAAAATGCTGAAAGGTACCTAAAGTAAAGAGAGAAATGCATGATCATGACTTGTCAATATGTTGCTATCATTGATTATAGCATGGCATGATCAGGAATAGTAGATAAGTTGCTATCATTGAGTGGAGGAGACTTTACTCATTAGCAACATCTAGAAATCGAGGACTGCGTTTCGAATTTCGATTCAACGGACGGAACATCATTTTTTTATTTATTTTAAAGTTAAGTAATAACAGCGTCTTCATATTAGATTTTACATATTTTGAAATTATATTTTCTTAAATGGGATTAAAAAATATTTTTTAATTTACGATTTTAAATATTGTAATTTTTTTTAAAATCACTAACTATGAAGATCGAATCATAAATTTAATTTATAAATCAGTCTTTATTTATTAATATAGTAACACTTTATGAATTCGCATCATTTTAAGAATTTGAAAAGCAGGCAAACTGTACTCTCTTGTAAAAGTAAACACCTTTGGAAAACCTTAAGCACAACGGACAATCTATTTTAATTACCAACCACTTTCCCTTCTTCAATCTTAAGCAATCCATATATTACTGTGATAGCTTTCGCATATACTTAGAAGCCAAAACTTTGACAATACATAGTTTTAAGCTCCTCTTGTGATGTCACTAGAAAGAAAAAACTAAAAAAAGAGTAAATTATAAAGTACTCCTTATATTTCTAAGAAATAAATAATCTAGCCTCTCTAGTTTAATAAATAATCAATTAATCCCTATATTTTCATATCTATTTATAACTTAGTCCCTCTGATTAATTTCCGTCAGTGAAATGTTGAGCTGACACCGATGTTTCCGCTAATATTTGGTACTGACTTAACACCAAACATGATCGAAAGATTTATTAATTATTTTTGGAACTAGAGAATTAAATTATTTGTTTCATGGAAACACAAGGACTGCGTTATAATGTACTCGAAGAAAAAATGCCTCACCAGTACCTCATACGCGACATGGGATGGGATGTCAGAGAGGCCTCAGGCGAGATCCAAGACGCCATCGGGGACCATGTCTCGGGAAATGTTCAACAACTAATAAATTTGTGTTGACAATAGTGACGAATTAGAGGATATCAAAAGAAACTAAACATTAAATAATGCATGAACAAGAAAATAAAAACATCACACTTGCAAAATCATTAAAAATAATAACAATAAAAAAATAAAGTTTTTCCTGATGATGGACTCCAAAAATAAAATAATCCTACACAGCATCATGTCATACTGGAAGAATTTATGGGCAAGATATATACAGCTTTATATGCAGAGAAAAATTATATAAATTTGGTCAACATGAGAAATGGCTAAATCATGCCTGCAGTCACCACCCCACCCCAAAAAAAATAAAAAATAAAAAAAGGCTCAGTTATTAAACAACTTATATTGGATCATTGAAAACATATTCTCCGCTTAAAAGGTCCCCTATGGAATGGAAAATGAATATACCAGAGATGGAGTTTCTACCCAATATTCATGGCCATGGGCTTCTAGCAGCTTTTATTTTTCTCCTTGTCAGCTTGTCTCAGTCTTCTTCTTTGATTCAAGGTATGCTTTCTCACTATCATGACAGCTTTTCATTTAGAATCCAAAACACTGACTCTGATATATAGCTTGAATCTGATTCCCTCGTTGTAGGAAAAAGCCTCCCTTACATGACTTCAAACGTCGAAGAGGTATCAGGCAAGTCCTTTGATTATATCATCGTGGGGGGAGGCACCGCCGGCTGCCCCCTAGCTGCAACTCTTTCAGAAAAATTTTCTGTGCTTCTGATAGAACGAGGAGGCTCACCTTATGAAAATCCCATGATAATGGACAAGAAGTACCTTGGTTTCCCATTTGTCCAAACTGACGAATTTTTTTCGGTGGCTCAAAGATTTTTCTCCAAAGATGGAGTTCCAAACCTTAGAGGACGAGTTCTTGGAGGATCATCAGCCATAAATGCTGGTTTCTATAGCAGAGCCAGTGCTGAGTTTATTAAAAGAGTTGGGTGGGATGAAAGGCTGGTGAAGGAGGCCTATGAGTGGGCGGAGTCTAAAGTTGTTTTTAAACCTCATGAGTTAACTAAGTGGAATTCTGCTGTCAAGTTTGCCCTTCTTGAAGCAGGAATTTTGCCTTATAATGGTTTCAGCTGGGAACATATAGAAGGAACAAAAATCGGTGGAACTGTGTTTGATGCAAACAGAAAAAGGCACATTTCAGCTGATCTTCTTGAAAGAGGGAACTCAAGTAATATCGTAGTTCTTCTCAATGCTACTGTGAAGAATGTCATCTTCCAAAGCAATGGTAAGCAAATGAAAGTCCAAATACTGTTTCAACTGCCAACAATCTTTAAGCAAAGATATATTAAACAGTATGTATATTAGAGTAGGATTTCCCAGAATTCCTATTAATGTTGCGTGGATAATCAATCTCTTGATGCCTGTTTGTTCCATTAAAATGACACAGCTAAAGAAAATAAAAGCTTAGTTCGCGGTATCAGGTTCCTTAAGAGCAACGGCAGCATAAATCAAACTTATGAAGCTTACCTTAGCGAACTAGAGAATTCGAGTCCACGGGGTGATGTTATTTTGTCAGCAGGAGCAATAGGCAGTCCCCATATTCTACTGCTAAGTGGCATCGGACCGAAAGGACATCTTGAGAACTTCAGCATTCAACCTGTGCTGGACTTGAAAGGGGTTGGACAAGATATGCAAGACAATCCTGCATTTCCCTTGATCCTAAACACCAAACCTGAATATCGGCTACCAGAATCGCCTCAAGTTGTTGGCATAGCAAAAGGCTTCAAATTCATTGTGGAGGGATTTGTCCTACCAGTGAGCCTCAATGCAACGACACTTGCGCGAATTTCAATTAAGTTCGCATTTCCAGAATCCAAAGGAAAGCTCCAATTGAACAACACAGACCCTAGGCAGAACCCTGTGGTGGAGTTCAACTATCTAGCCGAGGAAAAAGACTTGAAGGAATGTGTCAAGATGGTTCAACTGGTTAAGAAAGTATCACGGTCCACGTCTATTGCTCGGTTCCTGGGGACGGAACCCCGAATTAATGTGACGTCTGATCCTAATGAGCTAAGAAACTTCTGCAAGAAGAATGTGAGAACTTATTATCACTATCATGGTGGTTGTTCTATTGGATCAGTTATCGATAAGGATTACAGAGTAATTGGAGTGAAGGGATTGAGAGTAATAGATGGCTCAACTTTATCTGAATCGCCAGGCACCAACCCTATGGCCACGCTTTTAATGCTAGGGAGGTACCAAGGGATCAAGATTCTCAAGGAAATGGAAAATGCTTCTGCATTTGTTACCCAACAACACCCGTAATTAACTCACTCCCAACGTCAGCTATATGTATCTAATATCTACTAATTTTAGATTACTTTTTGTGATGTTCAGTTGTTGGAAATTATTCAATGGTTTCGTTGTTATTGTCCTAACTTAAACAATAATTTATCTATTAAATTGTTTCTCATCATCTTTGTTACTCAAGAGTTCCGCACAGCACTCTGCTCCAGCATCATTCAATTAATTAGTCAACTTGATGTTGATTTTCCAACAAATTCACTGCTTGTGTTTGGTATATGCTCTGGGTCCGGCAATGAGTGGCTTTGGATATCCCATTAAAAAATTAATTAAAAAATGATTAATTAGAAAAAAAATAAATAGGAAACTGATTGAATTGAAAAGGAGAGAATCAAAAAGCAAATTGTGAAGTGGGTGCATGTATGGTGATGAAAAAGGAAAGGAAAAAAAACGGAAAAATTGATTTGACTTTCTTGTTGTGCCTGACATAAGTTTTCTCTTCCCTATTTGTTTTGTTATGCCGCATCCGTCATATGGAGCTGCCATGTGAAGAAAAAAGATTTTTTTTTATTGGATTGCTATAATTAGAAAGTAAGGATTTTTAGGATACAAAATATTGCGATTTCTTTTAGTATTATTTTTTAGGTATTACAATCATGTAGTGTTTAAGATAGTGATCATATACAATATTGTGTTTTACAAAAGAGAGAACTGTTTGTGGTGCCTAACTTTTATATTTTTTTTCCATTTTAGTATCCAACTGTTAATTTTTAATAATTTGCTACTTAAATTTTATTTTTTATTTGTTTTGGCACCTGAATCACCTTAATCACAATTTTTACTGACTTGTCTTGTAAGAACTGCCCCATGACAACTAAACAAAAAATGTCACATGGTAGCAAAAAATATTACATGGTAGTCAAAAGGTGATTGTGGGCACTTAAATTAAAAAAAATAATCAAAAGTTAGGTATTGAAACAAAAAATAAAAATAAAGATTAGGTACCTAATCAGAAAAAATAAATAGTTGGACATCTAAAATGCAGTTTTTTCACACAAACGTATCTCATATAATTCTAAATCTCAAGAAAATTAGCAATAACATGCATGCATATCTTCTTATTATTATGCTAATTGCAAAAGTAAGGTTAACAATGCATTCACTTCTTAGTTTAATTCACACTTTATTTGTTACCTCTATCATTATCGTCATTGCTACTAAAAATATTGCATCTTTAATACCTAAATAAAAAAATTTGATCACTAAATTTATTCACATTGATTTTATTCCATCTCGAAGCATACTATAAAAAATTCAACAAGTTATTGACCACGTAAACCTTATGCCACCCATTATATGTTGGTTGATCTTCTCCCTAGATGGAAAAATAATTTTTGTTCTTTGTAAAATTTTTTATTGGCTAATCATTTGTTCCGCAAATGACAATCATGATTGGACCATATATGCCTTTTTTTTTAATTTAATCCTAACCGAACCTTAAATATATATATAAACTAATTGATATAATTAGACCACAAAAAAATTTATAAAATTTTAAAAAATATTTTTTAACTAATAAAAAAATTATTAAAAAAATATTTTTGATAAGTAAAAAATATCACAAGTATGATATGAAAAATATCTATTGATAATGCAACTAAATAGAAATTATTGGACTAATTTTGCGATCTTGAAGCAACAAATTTCTTAAAAAAAACTCGTATTTTTGATGTCCAATCTTTAATTATTATTATTATTATCTTTTTGTTTCAATGCCTCACTTTTGATTTTTTTTTTTTATTTAAGTATCCACAATCACCTAAGAGTATGAATTGTTGACATATTTAGAGTTGATCGTCACGTGACGACTCTTGTTGGACACGTCAATAAAATTGAATCTCAAATGAATTCAAACACTAAAAAAATAAAAAAACTCAAAACTTGGTGAGATTCAATTTTGAATTCAAGCACTAAAAAAATAAAAAAAATCAAAACTTGGGTAGTAAATCATTAGAAATCAACAGTTGAACACCAAAACATAAAAATAATCAAAAGTTGAGCATAGAAAAAAGATGTTCTCTCTTTAAAAAAATAAAAAGATTTTGCAAATTTAAAAATTTATTAGTGAGATAAATTTAGTTAAAAAGATAACTTGTATTACTACTAATATTTTTTATTCTCAAGTTGATTGAAAACTTTTAGTGACTCTATTGCTTTCTTCATTATAGTATATTATTTTGAAATTGAACTTGTAGTTTTTCCCTCTATAATATATATATGTATTTCACGTAAATTTAGTGTTCTTGTGATTGAATTTTTTTTTTTTTTTTTGTTCTTAATTTTATGTGTGTTTGACTTGAATATTATTTTCTTACAAAATCTAATTTATACAAAGTGAGATTAAATTTCTAACATTGGTATCAAAGATTTGGTTGAAATATTTATGTAAATGAGATGGAGAAAATAATTTAAAAACCTTGATCAAACTAACGACTTTAAATTATTCAATTTAGAAGTCAAAGATAGAGAATTTACTTTATTATCATAATTTGTTTGATCCGATTAAATTAGATAAAGTCAAACCAACTCGTCAAGACTAATGATGCTTGAAAAAAAAAACATAGAAAAGCAATTAGAGATATCATATAGTGGGTGGACAATGGTGTGTTTTACCATGTATCTAAAGAGATAGAAGTCCAATAATTATGAAAAAAATTAGAGTGCGTATGAATGAAAAATCGCACAAAATAAAGCTTTTTTTTTTTTTTAATTAAAAAGCTCATGAATTAGAAATATAAAAATGAAAGGTTTGTTGCTGAATGTTTGAGTGACTTCAGTTTTTGATTAATCAATTAATAACTATGAAAATGGTATTACATGATGGGTTACAAACATTATTGTTTTTAGAAATTTTGTCGGACGAGTTGGAAGATTTTGATTGTAACACTTGATAAATGTACTCCAAAATGTGTTTTGTCACTATTCATGATTAACGATAGCTTGTGTAATGAAGAAACAAGAAGAAGCACAATAGTAGTGAATGAGGCACAAGCTCTTGCCATAGAAAATAAAGAAAGGAGTAGGAATAGAGAATTTAATGGGCATGGTGAATCCATATACAAATCACAATCCAATGATAGTTGTAAATATTATCATTGTGAAAGAGAATGTCACAACAAAAGAAATTACAAGACATAAAAGATAAGGAGAACACCATTGGAGTAATAACTTCATACTAAGATATGACAATACTTTCATATGAATAGAATAAATATACTCGTTGCAGATCTTTGTATTAAATAGATTACCGACTCAAAAACTACATATCATGCTTCTACTATAACGGAATTATTTACGAGTATACAAGACATGAAACTTTGACGAAGCAAAGATAAGAAATAATAATTATGCTAGTGTTTTATGGAGTAAGTTATAAATTAGTCCCTCTTTTTGTGAAACAAATTAATTAGTCCTTTTAGTTTCAAAACCTAATTATTTAATTCTCTTAACCGAGTGTTGACCATAATTAATTTAATATTTTTTATTTTGTAAAATGTATCCTTTTCTCATCTATCTTTTCATAACTTATTTTTTCTATTTATTAAGAAAAATAAATAAAATAATAAAATAATAAATGATTCAGTTTTGAAACTAGACGGACTAATTAATTTGCTTCTTGAAACGAGAGGGACTAATTTATAATTTATTTGTGTTTTATGAGTTGATGACGTGTGAATAAAAGTTCTCATATCTTGGACATTATCAGATCATACAATTATTTTAATGGTAGAAGATGGAATACACCAAAAGATCAATGGTTCTTGCTAAAAGTAATACTTATGATAAACAGTAAAAGACAAAAATATAGTTAATAAGATCTAAAAAGATTACAGTTAGCCATGAAACTTCTTTAAAGTTGTGGTTTAAATGATTGGTTTAAGTGAATAAAAAAGAATTGGCAGAGAAGTCTTGTTGTTATTTTTACCCAAAAAAAAAAAAAATTACCACATACAAGAAATTATTGAATGAAGAACATGAAATTAATATTGAGTCAACAATTGAAAATAATGATGATATAGACACAAGGAATGCTGAGCAAGGCCCTCCATTTCAGAATGTAGAGCCTTGTGATGATGATAGGTCATTTTGTTATAGATGGTTTATTAATTATTTCATTAAATAATTATGAATGTACTATTAAATATAAAAAATATAATTTTAAATATAATTTATTAAATAGGTGATTTGAAAAATCATTAAATTTTAAATTTGAGATTGGTTGTTACTTTGCAGGGTATACCACTCATAAAATGAGTTTTCCAAGTAAAATGTCTTTCTTGTTCAAATATTTCAGTTAACAATTCTACACTTCCTTTCGTAAAAAGGTAAGAATGCAAAGAAAGTCTTTTAAATTTAAATTTTTTATTGATTTTCTATTACAATATTCATAAATAATGTTCAATAGCGAGCCAATTTGTTTTTGTTGAAAATAAATGCAGGATTTTTAGATTTTCCACGTCTTTTCTAGCAATCTTTAAGATTTGTTTGTGTGATAGAACTTGTTGTGGGAAGACAACCTCTGAAGCTGGTGCACGCAAAGGTGCTTGTTGCATTTGATGTGTTAATATTTGAGTGGTCAGAGACTTTACCTCTTCCTGAGTCGATATGAACCCCTCTATTAGCAACTTGATACATCGTTATAGTTGGAGGACGTTCGATTGTAGAATGCATTAGAGTTTTCTAATTTTGAGCTATGGAAAAGCTTGGAGATGGAGAAATAAAGTAGTTTAGGATTGACTTTTTGTTCAAGTTTCTCATAGACAACACCATTGATGAGATCATGATCTCGAATTAATATTATTGGTTAAATGACTCCCAATCCAAACTGATTGTGTGGTTGATGTAACTAATTGTATATAAAACCAATGAAAAGTACCTATAAAACAAATCATCCTCTAGTGTTTAAAAAACCCTTCAAGGGCTAAATCAGCATACAAAAAGATGTTTTTGGCTTGAATAAGCTTAATTGTATTTAATTCTTAGTAGAAAAAGATATGTAATATTATTTATGTTTTTTAGCTCACAAACATTTGATATGTTAATCTTTCTATCGATAAAAATGTGGTCAACTTATATAATGTAAAGAGTAGAGGGGTCTCTTCTTTTGCGTTCAATAGCTCCTTTTATCCATTTGAAGGTTTAGAATTTCTTTAAGCAAATGTCATTGTATCCCCACACATGTGTAGTCATGTTTAGTGATAATATGACAGAAACATCTTAAGAAACCATGCCTTCATTTTATGCATATATTATGGGTGTGTATCTTTTTTGTCTTATATATATATATATATATGGTTTTATAGCAGAGCTAGTGATGATACTGTTAAAAGCGCAGGATGGGATAAGAAGTTGGTGAAGGAGGCCTATGGATGTATAGAGTCAAGAATTTAAATCCGATGAGTAGACAAAATATCAATCTGCTCTCAAATTTGGCTTTCTTAAAGCAGAAGTCCTTCCTTATAATGGATTCAGCTGGGAACACAAAGGAGTGAAGGTTGAAGGGTCTCAATTTGATCACTATATAAAAAGGCACGCAGCAACTGATCTTTTATAGAGAAGGAACCCAGAAATCTATTTAGATGCTGATTTTAGCAAGTCCTAAAAGCTATACATGTAAATACAAAACTTCAGTGATGTCTTGTCAACATTGCTTAGACAATCAATCTCCTGATGCTAGTAATTAGTTCTATTTAAATAATATAAGTAAAAGAAACGATAGCATAGTTCATGGTATTTGGTTCATCAAAAGTGCTGGCAGCATATATCAAACTTAGGAAGCTTGCCTTGACAAGCCTATGAATTTCGCTCAACAAGGTGACGTTATTTAGTCAGCAAGAGCATCAGGTGGTCCCCAAATCCTAATGTTAAGCGAGGTTCAAAAAGTCATCTTAAGAACTTTGGTATCCCATTTGTGTTTTACTTGGAAGGGGTTGGATAGGAAATGCAAGGCAATCGACGCACAGACATAAGCATGAACAATGTATCTTTTGAATATTCCACAAAGTCGTGGGCGTAGCAGAAGACTTAAAATTCATATTTAAGGGACCAATCATACTAGGTAGCTTGAATGCCTCAACTATGGTAATCGCAAACAAGATTGCAGTCCCAAAATCAAAAGGAAAACTGGAATTGAACAATACAGAACCTAGGCAAAACCCTTGAGTGGAATTCAATTATCTAGGACAGGAAAATGAATTGGAGGAATGTGTCGAGATGGCTCCATTGCTTGAGAAAATAGCAAGGTCGAAGTCCATCATTTAGTTCACAAGGGTTGAACCCCAAAATTATTCAACGTCCAATCCTCATGAGTTAAGAAAGTTCTGCAAGAAGAATGTGAAAACGTTTACCACAATCATGGTTGCACTGTTGGATCAATTGTTGACAAAGATTACAAAGCCTATGGGATAAAAGGATTGAGAGTCATAGATGGCTCAACTTTTTGGGAATCACTAGGTACAAACCCAGCTGCAACTGTCTTAATTCTGGGACTGTATCAAGGGATCAAAATCCTCAAGGAAAGGGAGAGTGCTCCTGCATTTAGTACCCAATTACACCCATAAACAAATTCTCAACTTCAATTTTAGTATATATATCACCATCTAAGAATGTTAAACAATTCCATGCGACAACTGTATTCTTCCAAGTGATCGAATAACTCTTTTGTCTCCATTTTACCCAATCTAAGCAAGTCTGTTCATTAAAAAAAAGAAGAAAGAGAGCAAGAAACCACCACAGCCATCAAGAAGATTCATATTTGAGAGCAGGATACGAGGGGGAAGAAACAAAAAAACTCTCAATCATGATCGGTGTTCATCATTATGCACCATTCAGTATTCTATAAATTCACGCAAGTATTTCATATCATAACAACAACAATTTTCTCTTGTGAAGAAGCACTAGGGATGGAGCTTTTCTCATGGTCATGCACTCAATAGACTTCTCCTAGTTTTTCTCATTTTACTATAACATTGGTTCTAACAGTATTGTTCTCCGTGTTTGTTTTTAAGAAAAAGCTGTTCTAGCCCGGATCATTCAATGAATTACTCCATCATATTACTAAGGAAAGGGAGGAAAAATGCAAGAGATCCCCTTCAAATTTAAACTCGGCGTTGATTTCTCAGAAAAACCATTATAACTAATCAATTAATCAGAGTTGAATTAGGTGCCGAATATTTAGATTGCTCACATCCCACCAATTGCAAATAACATCAAGCTTTGAAGAAAGAATTAACATGCTATTAGGAAACCATATACAGAAATCTGTGTTTGCACATGTACATACGTAGACGTGTATATATTGCATTCAAGTGAGGAGTGCAAAACTGTTAAATAATCCAAGAAAACACAATCAACATTCCAAATCATTGAAGTCACGCCAAAGATATGCAGAAAGATTTCTTTTGATACAGCCTTGAAATCATGCCCAAGATATAGCTATAATCATCCAACACATGCAAGAATATCCTTTTTAGTACAAAAGAATTAACAAATTAAGCCATAACTGCAAACTCAGTAATTGCAAAGACCATATTAGGTCCTAAGCCAACCATTCTCTTCTTAAGCAACTCCTATCCCTGGAAACGGAAATTGGAAGTAAGAAAGATGGATCATCCAGCATTATTAAGGGGTTTCTGGCAGTCTCATCAATTTGTTCACAAAATGTCCAACACCACTAATTAACAAGGATAATGCTTATATAAAGGACTGTCACTTGAAAACTCAATTTTTCTAAATAACAGTAGAATGATTAACAGTTATTTAAGGAGAAGTTGATGCTGATTTTTACAGTAAATTCACAACTTGCTTTCAAGAAAAAACCAATTTCTGTTGAAAACAGATATAAAATGCTCTAGTTATCATTCCATATTGAATCTTCCAAACCTAAAAAAAAAAAGGAGACAAACACAACCTTATGGATAAAAATATTAACAAAATAATCTAGTATAAACCAGCAAAAGGAAAGAAATGGAAAACGCTCTCTCAACTGTACCATTAGTTTTTATCTTACAGTGCACAGAGATCGCAAGTCTTTCATATGATAAATAGAACACATTAGCAATTCCCTGTTAACTTGTCCCAATCTTCTTCAGTCCTGTCAGGCACATCACTTAAATGGGTTTTCTATATCATGTCAAATTTCATTTAGACACCAAAACATAGGTTCTAACATTTACAAATTGCTTTATTAATTTTAGGAGCCAATCTAATCTGGGATCATTCTACACTTCCCACATCTAAACTTGGTGTTGTTTTTCAGGATACTCATCAAGGATGTTTGAAGACTAAGCAATCCGTGTTGAAAATAATTCCTGGATATTTTAGTTGCCCACATCCCACCAATCTTCCGAACCAGAAGAGCAGGAAAAAAAAATCAAATCAAGATATCTTCACAGCTGCAAAATCATCAAGTTTTCAAACAATAATTGATGTGTGATAAGCAATTCTTTCAACCACGCCATCTTCAGTTGGTCTTTGATTGTATGGGTTGTGACGCATATGCATATTCCATCAAATGAACCTAAGGATATAATAATCCCACAAAACTTGATATTCCAAATTAATCAAATCATGTAGAAGATATGTAAAAAGATTTCATTTGCTACAGTAATCAAGATTATCACTTGCAAGATACAACAATTATCATCCGATATAGAGAGAATTCTATTCGAAAAACTGAACCAATGACTAAATCATTCCTCCAAACTAAGTATTTAAACAAACCACACTTCCCCCATTGCCACCATCTTCTTTTTAGCTAACCTATTAGAGAGATGGAAATTCCACGTATTTTTCATTGTTATAGGTTTTCCGTAATACCTTTTGTTCTACTTGTGGGTATGCCTCCATCTTCTTCACTATTACAAGGTATGCTACTTGACCAAATCAGGGTTCTCTATATTACGACAGCTTAAAGCTGTCAGCTTTTATTTAGGAGTGTAAACATTGACTCTAATAGCTTCGATCCGCTTCATTTCATTGTAGGAAAAAGCCTCCCACACATGACTTCAGACTTCACAGAGATCTCAAGCAAGTCATTCGATTACATTGTTGTAGGTGGAAGCACTGCTGGTTGCCCTCTAGCAGCGAACCTTTCAGAGAGATTCTCGATGCTATTGGTGTAGCGAGGAGGCTCGGCTTATGGAAATTTCTTGGTATCAGATAGGAAGTATACAGGTTTCCACTGTTGCAACCCGATGAATTTTCATCAGTTGCTCAAAGTTTCATCATTAAGGAGGGAATTCTTAACTATAGAGGACGAGTTTTTGGAGGATCATCGGCAATACATTTTGGGCTCTATAGCAGAGCTAGTGATGACTTTGTTACAAGAGCTGGCTAGGATAAGAAGTTGGTGAAGGAGGCCTGTAAATGGACTTGTTTCTAAACCCAAGTTGATCAAATTTCAATCTGCTCTCAAATTTTGCCTTCTTGAAGTAGAAATTCCACCTTAAAATGGGTTTAGTTGGGAACATATGCAGGGGACAAAAAATTGGGGGAAGTATATTTGATCAATATGGAAAAAGGCAGACCGCAGCTGATCTTTTACAGACAGGGAACCCAGATAGCCTCGTATTTATTCTAAATGCAACACTACAGAGTATTATCTTCCACAGCAACTGTGAGCATAGATATCTTTAGATGCTGGTTTTAGCAAATCTTAATACCTATAGATGTAAAACCAAAAATTTATTGATCTCACACCTATATTGCTTGGGAATCAATCTCTTGATGTAACTTCTACGCAAAAAATGCAGGTAAAACAGATGAAAGCATAGTTCATGGTATTAGTTCATCAAAAGTGATGGTAACACAAATCAAACTCATGAAGCTTACCTCAACCAGCCAGACAGTTTAGGTAAAAAGGGTGATGTTATTTTGTCAGCAGGAGCATTGGGCAGTTTTGAAATCTTAATGCTAAGCGGCATTGATCCAAAAAGTCATTTTCAGAACTTTGGCATCCCACTCATGCTAGATTTGGTAGAGGCTAGAAAGGAGATGCAAGATAATCCATGCAGAAGCACCATATACAACAACAAAGAGCATCAATTTCCAGATCCTAAACAAGTTGTGGGCATAGCAAAAGATAACTTTAATGCATCACCGACACTAATTGCAATCAAGATTGCAGTCCCAGAATCAAAAGGAAAGCTGGAATAGAACAACTTAGACCGTAGGCAAAACCCTTCAGTGGAATTCAATTATCTAGAAAAGAAAAAAGACTTGGAGGAATGAGTTGAGATGGATCAATTGCTTGATAGAGTAGCAAGGTCAAAGTCCATTACTCGGTTCATGGGGACTGCACCCAAAATAATTCAACATCTAGTCCTCATGAGCTGAGAAAGTTCTGCAAGAAGAACGGGGACACTTTTTTTCATTACCATGGCAGTTGCTCTATTGGATCACGTGCTGACAATAATTACAAAGTATATGGGATAAAGGGATTGAGAGTCGTAGATGGCTCAACTCTCTAGGACTCGCTAGGAACGAACCCAATGGCCGCCCTTTTAATGCTAGGAACGTGTCAGAGGATAAAAAATCTCAAAGAAAGGGAGAGCGCTTCTGCATTTAGTACCGAGGAACAACATAAAAAAAAATTCTCAACTTCAGATATATCCATTTATTACTATCTAAGAATGTTAAATAAATCGATGTAACAATGATATTCTTCCAAGAGATTGAATTACTCTTTTGCTTCCAGTTTATCCAATCTAAGTTCTTAATTCAGTTATAGGTTACATGGAAATTTATACATCATCCGATCTTGTTAAGTAGTCTCGATCACTATCTCAATTCTCAACACAGATTCTTTCCATAGCTCGAACATGAACAATTCATTTACCACTCATCAAATCATATTAACCAGTGTGGGTACATAAAATTGATAATACACCATAGCAATCATTGAAGACAAAAGTCTGCTTAGTTATTATTCCGAGGGAATACATAAAACTAGAGAAGTGCGATAGCAAGGCGATTCATTTAATGCACACAAGAACATGAAATAATCACTTCTGATTTCCATTCAATATTTATATACTTACATGTATATATGTATACTATTATCCAAAACCAGATATTCCAAATTTCTCAAATCATATCGAAGATATGGTTATCTCCAAGACAGACAGCTGTTCAACAAAAAAAAAAAAATCTTTAACATCTATTATAAGGAAATGAGAGCAGCCAAAAATGAAACTTGGAAACCATACCTTAATCGGTCAGAGATTTTGGGTTAATGGGTTGTTGTTGTTGTTGTTGTTGTTTTGTCAGTCAGTATGGACCCAAAATCCTATTGGTTGATCTGAGCCTGTTGCTCTGTTCCTGCGGACTGACGGTGACTGATCCCCAAAAATATTTGATCACTTCCAGTTCAGTCCTGCCCTTGCGAGTTCAGACAATTCTGCAACAAGAATGTGAGGATTTTCTGTAAAGGGATTGATTGAGAGTCATAGATGGCTCGCATTTCTTGGAATCATCAAGAGGTGCCACCTAGGTAGTTCAGTTCAGTAACTTCTGTCTGCCAGGTAAGAATGAAACTGTGAGAGTGAGTGACTCGGTGGGGCCATTAAGGATAAGAATTTCAACCCCCATCCCATGATAAGATATTATATTTGGGTCTCCTTCTTTATTAAACTTTCAATTTGATCTCTTCCTATCAAGAGTCCAATTTTTATTCCTAAGAGATGCTTTCTCGGCATGTTTGACCCCCGTATAAAAATGGCCATTTTCCTTGTTTACACACCCAAGGTAAATGAAAATTAATTTAATTTGTATTAAAGAAAAATTCATTCACTTTTTTGTCTTTGAAAAATATTCCCTTATTTATGTATTTGAGGTAAAGAAAAATTGAGTGCCTAGCTTTTACACAAGTTTTCTAATCAAGGGTCTTTATTTTTTTATTTTTATATTTGAGTGTTTATACCTCCATTTGTTTTTCAATAAAGCGTTTGTACATGTTTGATAAATGGGCATCTATCATCTTTATTGTGAGACTTACAATTCATAAATTGACAAAAAAAAAAAAAAAAAAATCAAAATTCTAAAATATAACAAAAAGAAAGAAAGAAAGAATAATATTATATTATAGGAGGAAAATTTCTCCTTTTTATTGTTATTTTTGGATTGTTGTGTTTTATTATTAAAACCTAAAATCCTAAATCCAAAAAAGAAAAAAAGAAAAAGAAGAGTAATATTTATTATAGGAGGAAATTTTCTTTTTTTATATATTTATTTTCAAGGAGTAAATTGTAAATAAGTTACTCTATTTTTACAAAATGAATTAAATAGTTTCTCAAACTTCAAAAATTAATTAATTACTTTTTTAATCAGTATTGACCATGCATAATTTGATATTATTTTTTTCAAAAAAAATATCTTTTTTTCGTCAATATCTTCATATTATTTTTTTCTTTTCTATTTCGTAAAAAAAATAAAAAAGAACATGAAATCGAAGACATATACCAATTAATTAATTTTTAAAACAAAAGAAAACTATTTAATTCACTTTAAAAATAAAGTGATTAATTTATAATTTACTCTATTTTCAAGTTACTGTGTATTTATTAATAGCTCATAAAAATGAAGAAGGACAAGAAATTTCCTTCATATAACACGGTTTATATCTTTATTATTTTTTTCTATTTTCATTAAAAATATTATTATTATTTATTGTTTTAAGAATAGTGGATCCCATCATAAGGATGATGCTTATCCATTTATCGGAATATCATCAACAATTTAATAATGACAGTACTTTATTAGGAAAAAAATTGAAAATAAAGACACTCAAACATGAATATAAGCTTATGGGCTCATGAAAGTCAAGACATACGCCTTTCATTATTAACGTAAGAAAGAGGTCAAAAGTCTTAGAAAAAAATGAGAATGGCCCCTCCAAACGAATTCTTAATACAACCACATTATAATTTAACAGTTTTACATTCGATAATGTTATTAAGTAAATAGGATTGAATTTCAATAACTGCAGTTTACTATATACTTTATTTTATTATCTCTTATTATGTAGGCCAAGACCCAATATGCCTCTTGATGAATTAAAAAAATACATATTATAAATTAAAAAATTCCTAACTTTAGCTGCATCAAGTTTATTTCATTAAACTATGTTTGTAATTAAAAATTGATTTTTTCCCATATTTAAACTCTCTTTATTTTGATTAAGACTCTATATTATTTTTTGTGTTGATTCAGATTTTCTACTTTTATTTTATATTGTTTAAAAACTTACGTTATAACACTGTTAATTATAAATTGATGTGATGATGACGTGATATGTCCACATCTTAATGCATGATATAGGTCATAAGTAGAATGTTGATGTGGCTTGTTTATTTTTTAATGCGTGATACATCGGACCCTAATTGAAAAAAAAACTATGGAGGCTTGATTGTATAAATTAGAGAGAATAGATCAAAATGTTTTTAATAAAACCTTTGTGGATCAAAAAATTATAAATAAAGGACTAAATTGTGAAACAAAAACTATGGAGACTTGACTGTATAAACTTTAGACAGAATAGACCAAAATGTTTTTTAACTTTGTGGACCAAAAAATTATAAATAAAGGACTAAATTGTAAAAAATAGTTTTAAGACCAAAATAACTTCTTCTTTTTTTTTTTGTTGAAAACTATGACTAAAATGAAATATTTTGACATTTTTTTTACACATATTAAATGGATAATAAATAAACACGTATTAAAAGTAAGAAATTATGAATATTTAACCAATTCAAAGTAAACAAAAGGATTGCTCTCTTTTTAAAAAAAAAAAAAATTTTGAGACTACACTTTTCTTTTTTCTTTTTTTTTTAATCTTATGCCATGCATCTGCTAGACCTGGAAACTCGATAAATATTAGACAGACCAAACAAGTCCATTCTTCTGGTTACTTGTTAACTGGTCCTAATCTTCTTCATTCCAACCCGGGCACCCATGCACTCACAAAATGAGTTTTCTATATAGGAAAATTTTTCACTCCATTTAAGTTGCCCACATCCCACCCACCTTCCAAAACAGAAAAGCACAAAAGAAAAAAAAATCATAGCAGGATATATTCACAACTGTAAAATCATCAAGTCTTTAAACAAGATATTGATATCTATTTGATCAAAAATTCTTTCGACAGCTAGCACTCTCCAATTATTCTCTGTTTGTGTGTATTTGTTGCAATGAATATGCATATAGGTATACCTAGTGTATGTAAGTACTTACATCCAAAATATACATTTTTTAATTGACCATTAGTTATTGGACCAAATTGTTAAGATTATATTAGTTAGGATTGAATTGTGATTTGAAGAAACAAGATTTACTAAGCCAATTATTTGGCTAATTAATTAACAGGATACAGTAGATGCTGCCAAGATTTCGTTCAGCAAGCTAGGAGGCAAAGACAACAGATGTGGGGCTTGCTTGTTTTCACATGAAATATGTTATTTTCTTGATTTGGTTTATTTAATTAGCAATTATGATATCATATATATATATATATATATATATATATATATATATATAGAACTTTCTTATTATATTCACTGGTTTGTACCGCATGCATTTTTCAATGAGATTTTCAATATTTATTTTTACAATTTTATTTTAGGGAAAATCACGTTAAACATTCTTTGTTTTGAGTACAATAACACTTTACCAATCTTATTTTTCAAAAAGTAACGTTTTACAATCTATAAATTTAACAATGAATTTTTCATCAAACAATTAGTAAAAATACTAAAATATGTATGTATAAATCTTGACTCGAGTCCTCTTTCTTCTTTTGTTTTTCCTCTCTTCTCTATGTTCTCTCTCTTACTCTCTCTTTACCATCCTCTCTTCTTTTTCTTCTTTTTATTCCAAACCGCCGCTACCATACCTCGTCAAACCACCACCACTACCAACTATATGTAAAATTACCTTGTCGGTCGAATCTCCCTTAACACATAATGATTGTAAATAATACGCAGCTTCAAACCTACCAATCAAATATTATAGTGTATCAAATAAATAGTAAAAAAACAAATATAAAAAATAAATTTAATATGGATATAAATATTCGAGTTTAAGTCTTATAGGATCATGTTGGCTTTGATCTTGCAGGTTGGATTTAGATTTTAGATGACTTGGGCGGTTACAAATATTTCAATTTTCATCGTCAACATAAAAAAGAATAACAATCAGGTTCAGACTTTAGTAGGTTGGATTTGAAGGGTTTGTTTGAATTTGGTTCTAAACTGGAATTGGATAGATGGCAACCTTGACGATGCACATGGCTTTTCAATTTATTTTTTAAGTTTTATGAATAATATATGGATTTCCTTATCAAATTAAGTCAAGGCATTTCATTTTCTCCTGACAATATATGAAATTGACTAGATATGAAATTGGTTTTGAAATTGACTAGGCTGTTGTAGATGTGCATTAAAGAACACTCTTACTATTATGAAAGTTGTAATGACAAACTTGTAATAATTTAACGTTTTTCTTTTGTTGGAAACTTGCGTCTACTAATGGAATCAAAATACAAGATATTTCTGAAATTAAATTTAAATGTTTAAAATGTACAGTATAATTTAAAAAACTAGAAGGTGTAAATAGTTGTTTGTCGAGTTCAAAACACTGGATATTTAACGTCATTTATCCTTTTTTATTGCCTTTATTTCTGCTTTTATCAGTGTTTTTTTTTTAATAAAAAAATCATATTTTTTAAGGTTTTTCTATCTTAAAATTTTAAATATTTTGCTTGATAAATCTCTTAATTTACTTGAATTTTTTTGGAATTTTAATCTCTTATGATACATCTTAGTGTTTGTTAATTTGACTTTATGTCCGTAAAAACAACATCTGATTAATGACGTAACTGTTTCCACACCAGATCTACCCTAAGAATAAAAATTAGAGTAAATTATAAAACTTTTATGAAGTATCATGAAATTATAATAAACATCCAAAAAATTGATAATGTTACAAAATCACCCTCAAGTTTAAGTGAAAATTACAAAACCCCTTTTTGAATCTAAAATAATCTTAATATTATTTTTCCTAACATTAAGAAGGTTTTTTAATATCTTCAACTTTTTAGATGGTTAATTTAATTTCATAATATCTCAATGAGATTATTGTAATTTTCCATAGAAAATACTCTTGCTGACAAACAAAAGAATTAATATAGAATAATCCCATAACACCCGATATTCCAAATTAATTAAATAATATAGAAGACATATGCACAAAGATTTCATTTGCAGAAGTATCAAAATTAATGTGTGGAACGTATATCAATTATCATTCAAGATATGGCGGAACTCTATTTATAGTTTTTTTTAAAAAAATAAGAAAGAATTCTATTTAGCCAACTGAACTACTTGCTAAATCGTTCCTGCATATATAATCAGTATTTAAACAAACTCACATTCACAACTATCTTCTCAACCAAGTTCTTCGAGAGATGGAGATTCCACACATTTTTACTGGTTATGGGTTTTTCTTAATTTTTCTCGTTCTCCTTGCAAGCTTGTCTTCATCTTCTTCACTATCTCAAGGTATGCTACTTCACCAAATCAAGATTTTTTATATACTGACAGCTTAATTAAAGTCTTCAGCTTTTATTCAGAATTACCATTGATTCGTATAGCTTCAATCTGTTTCCTTCATTAATTGTAGGAAAAGGCCTGCCATACATGACTTCAGACGTCACAGAAGTCTCAGGCAAGTCATTCGATTACATTGTTGTGGGGGAGGCACTGCCGGTTGCCCCCTAGCAGCAACCCTTTCAGAGAGATTCTCGGTTTTGCTGGTAGAGCGAGGAGGCTTACCCTATGGAAATGTCTTCATAACAAATAGTAAGTACATGGGTCTCTCATTGTTGCAGACCGATGAATTTTCATCGGTTCTCAAAGCTTCGTATCTAAAGAAGGAGTTCCCAACCATAGAGGACGAGTACTTGGAGGATCATCAGCAATAAATTTCGGGTTCTATAGCAGAGCCAGTGATGATTTTGTTACAAGGGCGGGGTGGAATAAAAAGTTGGTGAAGGAGGCCTATGAATGGGTGGAGTCTAGAATTGTTTCTATACCCAATAAGTTGACGAAATTTCAATGTGCTCTCAAACTTGGCTTGCTCGAAGCTGGAGTTCTACCCTATAATGGGTTTAGCTGGGAACACATAGAAGGGACAAAGATTGGAGGATCTTTGTTTGATAACTGTGGAGAAAGGCACACCGCAGCTGATCTCTTACAGTCAGGGAACCCAGACAATATCATGGTTCTTCTTAATGCAACTGCAAAGAGTATCATTTTCCATAACAGAACTAGTAAGCAGAGATCTCTTAATTAGATATTAAAAACAAATATTTCATTGATTTCCTACCAAGATTGCTTGGACTCTTGATAAATCTTTTGATGATAGTTAGTTGTTCTATTTAAATAATGCAGGTAAAGGAAATGAGAGCATAGTTAATGGTATTAGGTTCATCGAGAGTGGTGGTAGCCCCAATCAAACTTATGAAGCTTACCTCAAGCACCCAACGAATTCGGGTAAACAAGGTGATGTTATTTTGTCAGCAGGAACATTAGGTAGTCCCCAAATCTTGATGTTAAGCGGGATTGGTCCAAAAAGTCATCTTAAGAACTTTGGTATCCCACTTGTGTTAGACTTGGAAGGGGTTGGACAGGAGATGCAAGATAATCCAGCTATAGTCACAAGCGCGACCACACGGTATCAATTTTCTAATACTCTACAAGTCGCGGGCGTAGCGGAAGACTTCAGATTCTTATACGAGGGAATAATCGTACCAACTAGCTTCAATGCATCAGCTATAGTAATTGCAGGCAAGATTGCAGTCCCAGAATCAAGGGGAAAGCTAGAATTAAACAACACGGACCCTAGGCAAAACCCTTTAGTGGAATTCAATTATCTAGAAAGTGAAAAAGACTTGGAAGAATGTGTTGAGATGGTTCGATTGCTTGAGAAGATAGCAAGGTCAAAGCCCATTACTTGTTTCATGAGTACTCAACCCCAATTTAATTTTTATTCCGGTCCTCGTGATTTAGGAAATTTCTGCATCGAGAATGCAAGAACCATTTATCATTATCACGGTGGTTGCGCGGTTGGATCAGTTGTTGACAAGGACTACAAGGTTTATGGGATAAAAGGACTGAGAATCATAGATAGCTCAGCTTTTCTGGAATCACCAGGTACAAACCCAGCAGCTACCGTCTTAATGCTGGGACGGTATCAAGGGATAAAGATTCTTGAGGAAAGGGAGAGTGCTTCGGCACTTGGTACTCAGCCATACCCATAATAAATTCTTAGCTTAGCTTCAACTATATTATACGTATCACCTATCTAAGAATGTTGGATAATATTCGTCATTGCCCTTCATCTATATGTATGGCCATTTAAGAATGTTAAATAATTCAGTGTAACATTAATAATGGCGGTACGTATGCAACCAAGTGGCGAATTTCAATAACTCTTTTCTTCAATTTTTCCAATCTAAGTTCTTAATTCAGTTAGATGTAAATACATTAACATTATGAATCATCCTACATCCTACCTTGCCTAATTAGTCTTCATTGCTATCGCAACGCAGATCCCTATAGCTTGAACTTGAATAATTCACTTATCACATAATTGATTCACGTCATTCTCGATGTATACAGACAATTGCAAGAATTAAAGACGAGGATGCCTTGGTTATTATTCCTTGGGAATACATAGAAGTAGAGAAATGTGAAAGCTACGGAAATAATTAAGAACACGGAACAATCCTGTTAAGGATCTGGGTTGGTTTCCTTGTCAGAGAAAGAGTTTTAGAAGAAGAAAGAAAAGATAGAGAATCTATCCATTGATTCTTCAATTTTTGGTAATTTGTAACATGAGTAAAACAAATTATATACCTCTCTCTTCTGACTTATAATTCTCTCTAACTGGATATTAGTTAACGAGGTGACATGCACATGTTATTAACTAACTCTACTAAATGAACTACAGACTTGCAAGGCTAAACAATTATAACATTTTCCCCCTTAAAGGTCCTCAAGGATCAAAGTTGAAATGAGAGAATTGCAGCTCCCATTCTTATAAAATCTCTCAAGTAGCATTTTTGTTGGCATGCCAAACCATTGAATGAGTCCCATCACTATTGCCTTTTTACCTTTCTTCATTATCTTTCTATTCAACGCAACTGGAAACAGGTACACCTCATGACCAATCTCGTCAATTGCAGGCAAGGAAGTTGAGATGACAACATTATTTTCAACTTTTCTTTTGAGTAAAGATACATGAAAGACTGGATGAATGAGGGCATCATATGGTAAATCTAATATGTAAGCCACCTTACCAAGTTTCTACAGAATTGTGTAAGGACCAAAGAACATTGGATTAAGCTTGAAATTCTTTCTTAATGCTAAGCTTGTTTGTCTATATGGTTGGAGTTTCAGATAGACCTGATCATCAACCTAGAATTCTCTTTAAGTTCTATTTCTTTCTGCAATTTGCTTCATCCTGTGCTAAGTTTTCATCAATTGATTTTATAAAAATGAGTCCACAGCCTTCCTTTTCCAAACAAAATCGTTGAAAACAGCCTTTATAGAAGTTTCTTGAATCACCATCTCCCTACTTGATGGTGGAAATAAAGCTTGAAAAGGAGTCATTTGAATGGCTAAATGAAAGCTTGAATTATACGACCAATATGCCAAATGAAGCCACTGACACCATCTCTTTGGACATTCCATGCACTTATATATACATCTCAAATGGATTTCTAAGCACTGATTCAGCCTCTTTTTCTGGCATCATTTTGAGAATAATAGGTTGAGCTCATCAACTGCTCGATTCCAAGCAATTTAAACAATTTCTTCCAAAGTAAACTTGTGAATATTTTGTCCCTGCTTGATTATAATCCATGAAGGTTGTACACTTGCTCCAAGAATACTCTAGCCACATCTTTAGCTAAGAAAGGATGAGACAAACCTATAACGTACCCGTTCTTAGTGAAAATATCCACAACCACCAAAATAGAATCCTTTCCTACAGACTTTGGTAACCTTTTTACAAAATCCATCGAAATATCTTTTCATGCCCCATCTAGAATAGATAGTGGCTGAAGCAAACATGGATAAGCAACTCCTTCGGATTTTGTTTGCATACATGTATCATATTTCTCCACAAATGCTTTACCCATACTCCTCATAGATGGTCAATAGGATACACTCTTAAGTCTTCTATAAGAATTTTGCACCCCTGCATACCCACCAATGGTTGAATTGTGAGCAGCTTCTACCAACTTCTTCCTCGATTCTTGGTCCTTCCTAATGAATAACATATTCTTATATCTCCGTACACCTTCCTTATAAGAAAACTGAGGAGGAAAGTCATTATCATTGAGCTTTTTTGCAGGAATAATCTCCTACACTTTAGATTCTTTCATATAAGAATCAACTATATTATTGTACCAAGTAGGTACTATAGTAGTAATTACACCAAAACTACCTTTGCATTTTCCATCTGCATCCTCATATGAAAGTTAGACAAAGCTAACACGTACAAGAGCTTCACAACCACCCAATTTCAGCTCCCTTAAATCAACATGAACTCATATCCCTACATAAACAATGTTAGCCCCAGACTTCGTGCTTGACACCTCATGATGTCTTTGTTTGCCACTGTAACAGACAGAGAAGTGGTTCTTTCAATTACAACATTGATTTATTTAACAATCTTAGAATAAATGAAATTGTGTATTGATACCACTATCAATTAATATGGTAATCTTTTTATGCTGACAATTACCCTTATTTTTTTTATAGTATTGTTAGTATACTTCACAACTAAAGCATGTTATGATAATCAATACTCTACATAATTTCTACCTTCCACTAGTTCTCTAATTTAATTACCATTCTCTACGTATATTCATAAATTTCTCACATGCATTCCTCCTCAACACCCTCTAGCATATACAATGATTTCTTAGCACGCTAATGACCGGAAAAATATTTATCACCACGCATGAAGCCAGGTCAGCATTTAGTTATTAGCAATTGATTCCAACCATGTGACTTGCACGTGTTACAATGTGAATTGCACGTATTATTAACTAGCTCTACTAAATGAACTATGTATTACGAGACTAAACATAATGAATTACAAGCCGATTATAACAAATTCATTTCTCATTTTCCACCAATATCTATACACATGCCGAAGGATTTGTTAATTCAATAAATTTATAGATCAAATTCTCTAATATTATTAGCATATAATTAAAGATACGGAATAAATCATACTTTAGTATTGGAAGATTCATTCATGGCTTTTAGGTTGAAAACTTCTTCTTCGTCTTTTCTACAGAAGGAAAAACGTGAGAAGAGAGAAGAGAATAGAAAAGTGACTATCCTCTGTCCTACCTTAACTTACATAATACTTCAACTAATAGCCCATAAAACATAACAAATAGTAGTATTCAATAAGGGCCAATAAATGCACTTTTGATGGGCCAGAGAGACACTACTTTAGATGAGGGTATGGCGCATTTCCTATTTATTCACATAAAACATAAGGATTGCTAATAATTTTAAGAGTCAACAACGCCATATTCCATAATTAAGATGCACCAAATTATCCAATTTAATCATAATGTGGTGATAAATATTAATTATAATTGAACTTGGCATAATGCTTAACAATAATATACTCTAATTAATCCAATAATCATTGAATTAAAATATAAATGTGCACCAAGCATAGTTTGTATGAAGTTTTTGGCCGTCATAACTATCCTCCACTTCCTAACCATCTGTATCACGAAAAGCCATAACACGACCCATTAGAAAACTAAATCTTATAAGTCTTGGCTTAATACTTCCAACTCAATTGTGAGGGATTTAAATGACTGGTATGAGAGTAGTTGAGATTGAACCATGATCCATCCCTAACAAAACCACTCTTTACTTATTTACGGTCATACCACAACACCTCTCGTCAGAACAAACATGTGCCTACGTATAAAATAATCCAAAACCAGACACTCTAGCTAGAAAATGAGAGCATAGTTTTATGGTATAAATTAAGTACATGAAGAACGATGGCTGCCAAAAAAAAAAAAAAAAAAAAATTGACCAGCTCCAGTCCAGTCCTTAACAGTCGGAAAAAATGGGAGGACTTTTTACAAAGGGATTGATTGAGACTTGAGGGTCATAGATGGCTCGACTTTTTTGGACTCATCACCAGGTACAAACCCAATTGCTAAGTGGGCTGGGTCGTTTGGTTAGCTAAGACTTGATGCTGAAACCTTAAGTCAGCGGGCCACCAATGATCATGGTTTTAAATTGGGTCGGGTTTATGGTCGCAGGTGTGATAACGATCGCTCTGCGTAGTGGGCTGTCGTGAATATTATATAACGGTTGCAGCCACCGCGCTTGGAAGATATTTGTAAATATATATATATATATATATAAATTATATATCATTGATTGATTTTATTGAATTTCGCCATAATTGCATAATATTAATGTTTTTCATACTGAAAAACATAGATAGTCATTACAAACACATAACTTCTCTCATTAGATATTACAAAGTTAATTATTCAATAACGTTCTGGAGGGTCTATTATATGGTATTTCTACACCGTGCTCCTCCTCTTATATTGATACTCGATACTGTCTTAAAAAATCTTTTACAATTCACTCAAATAAAAAGCAAAATATTTAGCTTTTTCTTTATATATATATATATATATATATATATATATATATATATATATATATATATATATACACACCAAATCATAATAATTATTTTATTATAGGCTTAAAGTATAAAAGTTAAAATATACTGAAATCATGCAACAATTGTAAAAGTTTAAGGAGAAAAAAATATTAAATCAATTAATCTTAAGATTTTTTTTTTTTTCAAAAAGTGCAATAGTGCTACACTAGTAAATAACAATTATAAATACCGTTAACTATCATATAGCGCTTATAGCGACTGCTCGCAACAACAAATTCTTAAAACTCGTTACATAACGGACCATGGTATGATAGAAGACAAAATTTCGATTAGATAACAACGGTGTTTAGAACCTTGCTAATAATAAGAATTTGCCCGCTCCTCTAGCCCCAACAAGTACATTAAATCTGGTCTCTTTCTTCTTAGAAGTTTCAATTTGATTCCCAAGAGTTAAAAATTTGCCATGTTTAGATATTTTCTCAACACATTTGACCCCACGAGGAGAAAAATATGACAATGTGATTTTTTTTTCCAGAACAATTTACTTTGATCCTCATTCAAGAAAAATTGTTCGCTTTTGTTTTCTTGACACATTTAAGTATTAATCGAAGAAGAAAATTTCAACTCCCCTAAGTCTTCGATCTATCATGTTCTCTAGCTCCAATCGTTTCTAAATATCCGCATTAAAACCAATGGCTACCATTTTTTTTTTTTTTTGTTGAAGGGGAAAAAACAAGAATTAACAAACAAACTAAAAGAATAAGGGTTGTTACTATTTAATTATTGTTGATTGAGATTCAATTACACTCGTGTTTGTCCTTCTTTCTCTCTCGATCGTCCGTTCTTTGTGTTCTTTTTATTTACGATCGTTTTTTCTCTTCTCTTAATAGATTTAAATTTTTATAAAGTTTTGAAAAACTTTGTTAAATACTTTCATATCTATCTTCTTTATATGTCGTTACGACACGAGTATCTTATCAGCATCTTATTTGAACAAACCATTATTGTGATCCGTGATATAAACATGGTTTGATATAAATTATTACAAGTAGAACCATAAAAGAAATTTATACCAAGGGGAGAAAGTTGTCAAATAGGTGATAGAATTAGGGCAAAAAAAGTGGTAGAACAGTTTTATAAACTGTAAACATAAACAAGGATGGAAGTACAAAGAAGCCTATTACAATTAAAGATGGTGTTGATCTTTCAAAAAATTTAAAATTACAATCAGAACAAAAAAAAATTAAAGCGTTTACTATTCATTTACTGTAAGAGAAGACTCAGACTTACTGTGAACTGTAACCCAACGGCATTATGCTACCTGATTGCCTGCCTTTGGATTGTCTAACTGTACTTTTTTTAGTATTGTATTGTGTTTGTTCAATCTGATGCTTTCATTTGATATATATTTTGTAATTTGGTGCATTTATTCGTCTGGTGAATCTAGTCCCTTCCTTTGGATATTGCAAATGACCGATTCTCGCCTTTTTTTTTTTCTTTGCTTTATTTTCGGTTTTGTCATTTGTTAGTTTTGTTCTATTACTTTTGTATCCTTCCATTATTTTTTTATATTTATATCTTCATAGCATTTTTATCATAATTTTACTTCTTCTTTCATTGTTCTATTACACTTGTATCCTTCTATTATTCTGTTTATGTTTCTGCTTTAGTATACCTTCTATCGTAATTTTGCTTTTCATTTCATGGGGCATTTAATATCGAGCATTAATAGCACTGTACAATTTGGCTTTTTTAAAAACCTCCTTCTATTTGCCCTACACTCAGCATTTGCCGTTATATACTATATTATATATCCTTGCTCTTAAGATTTTAATAGCTGACCAATGAAAACTTGATGTACTATTTCAACAATATGTTGGCATGTATATTTTTTGGAATAGCTACCATGATAAAATCACAAATTATACGATAAACTAAAAGAGAAGGCAAACCATGATATTTATTTATTTATGCTTTTATTCAATAATTTAATTATTTTTTTACTATACATTTTTAAGTGGAAATTATAGAATATTGAACGTTATTTTTTATATTTCCCACATAGTCTGGAGAGAATAAAATATAGATGATATATTTTTATATTTTAAAATAAATAAATATTTTAAATTATATTAGCTAGTTGTTTACGTTTTAATACAAACAAGTCATCGTTCAATACTTAAATCGATCGAAAATTTACACTCACACATGTATATATATATTTTTATGTTATTATTATTTTACTCTGTCGATATAGATTTATTTCGATACATATAAAAACATTTTATATTTATTATTATCATACATGAGGTTTGTTTGGGAGATAATTTCAATGAGTTGTTTTTTTTTTTTTAAAGACTAAGACTAACCAAGAATGTTAGTTTTTTAGTCTGTTACATGCACAATACTAGGGCAGACACGCCTGGCCTAGCAGCCAATTTTATTATTATTATTATTTTTTTTTTTGAATTCTGGATGATCTTCCTCTGCAAGTATTCTGGCGAGCTCTTGCTTGCCGGAAAAACAAACCCCACCAGCAATGACTCTCAGAACGCTATTTTTGTTCAATTTTCAGATTTAGAAACCTAAAACGCATCCCTAAAATCTGTAAAAACCATTTCATGATTCCATTTCCTGTTTAATCAATCCGAAAACAATTAAAAAGCAAATCAAAATCGGTAAACTAAATTTATTTTCACTCCAATATCTCCGTTTTCTGGATATGAATAAGGTTTTTTTTTTTAACTCAATCAACTCAATTCAACTCATGAAGGAAAATCTTTTGACACTCTTTTCAACTGTTGTAGTGTCGACACATAGAGCGGCCGGCATCTCCCTCTCCTCCCTTCTCTCTTACCATTTTCCCCAGGGACCAAAACGAAATGGAATACAGTAAAAAGGCCAAAAAAAAAAAAAGCTCGAAAATAAAACAACTTTAAATCCCACCAAAACTTCTTAACGTTGGACATTACGAAGTATGGTTCCCTGGATAGAAGTTCTTAAAATCTGGGGATAATTCAAGTCTCAAAGAGGTAACTTGAGGAAATGCCAAATGAGGTTCTGCTTCATTATCTTTGACCCGTGCAACAATATTTTTTAATGTAACACCATATGAAAAACCCATGGTATTTGATAAGAAGTTTTGTACTGGTTTCCCATTGTTTCAAACCAACAAAGTCTCATTAGTTGCTCAAAGTTTCATCTCCAAGGAGGGCATTACCAATCATAGAGGACGATCGAGTTCTAGCAGGGTCATCAGCCCTAAATTCTATAGCAGACCTGATAATGCTTTTTGTTAGAAGAGCCGGGTGGGAAGAACTGGCCAGTCAAGGAGGTTTATATATGGGTGGAGTCTAAAATAGTACTTTCAAACCTGAGTTGACCAATGGCAATCTGCTGTCGAGCCCCTTGGAAGTTTAAAATTGGCCTTTTTTAAATTTCAATGAATTTCATTTAATATGCTGAGTAACGAAGTCATATTTTTTGAAAACATCTGCAGAACGTTTAAGTTACAGCAAGTCGCACGCCACCCATATCCTAAACAGGAAAGCACAAAAAGAGAGAGTAATCAAGAATATCGTAAGCTTGCAAAATCATCAAATGAGTTGAACAACGAAAGTGTAATCAGAAAATAATATGCACATGCATAGGGTATACAAGTCTCCCGTGTGATGCATGCAAGAATATAAAATAATCCTACGAAATAAGATATATATTGAAGTAGAAGATATATATGCAGAAAGATTTCATTTGCTAAAAAGTCTTTAATTCATGCGCGAGATACAGATATAATCACCCAAGATGTTCAATGCAACAGAATTCTTTATGTATAGTCTAAAAGAACCAACGACTTAAATCTTACCAGCAAGCTCTGTATTTAAACAGACACATTACGCCCACTGCCATCAAATTTAGTGCTCTCCCCTAAGCAGCCACCAGGAACGGAAATTGCAAATAGTTCATGGACGTCTCGTAGCTTCATTTATATTAATTGTTAGCTTTTCTCAATCTTCTTCACTGTGTCGAGGTATGTTACCTAACCAAATGAGTCCTCCTGTATTATGACAGCTTTCCCGTAGAAGCTAAAACATTATTCTAATAAATTCAATCTCCCTCCCTCGTTGTAGGTAACACTCTGCCCTACATGACTTCAGATGTCACGGAGATATCTGGAAGGTCATTTGATTACATAATAGTAGGGGAAGGCACCGCTGGATGCCCCATAGCAGCAACACTTTCAGATAAATTCTCTGTGCTCTTGGTAGAACGAGGAGGCTCGCCATATGAAAATCCGTTGATATTGGATAAGAAGTTCTATGGATTCCCATTGTTTCAATCCAACGAATTCTCGTCAGTTGCTCAAAGTTTCGTCTCCAAGGACGGCGTTTCCAACCGCAGAGGGCGAGTTCTTGGAGGATCGTCAGCAATAGATGTCTGGTTCTACAGCAGAGCTAGTGACGCTTTTGTTTGAAGGGTTGGGTGGGACGAAGAATTGGTAAAGGAGGCTTATAAATGGGTGGAATCTAAAATAGTTTTTCAACCCGAGTTGACCAAATGGCAATCTGATGTCAAATTTGGCCTTTCATCATTGCCATGTTGGTTGCGATGTCGGATCAGTAGCTGACAGCGATTACAAGGCGCAAATCTAAAGATTTTGAAGGTGATAGATGGCTCAACTTTCTTGGAATCACCAGGCGCACATCTACATGTCAGGTAGGTGTCAAGGGATCAAGATTCTCAGGGAGAAAGTCTTTGTCATCTGCACTGTCGCAGATTTATTGTACGTACCTGCTTGATTCTCGATAACTTTGTAACAAGAGAGTTAAAGGGCTGGCTGGGTTGTGGCCTGCAACTAATATTTATTATAACGATATTTTTTGTGTTTTCTCTAATGATAAACTAAGTTAAAAAAATAAAAAATAAAAAATCAGCCTGCAAATCCTAACTATCCTAAATAGATGTTTAATCTGCCCACACAAGCTAGAAGTCAAGTTGCAAATTTAATTATTCACAACAGTGACCATCTTAAGCTAATGATATATACTCTCCTTGTCTTATTGCAATCAAAATCTATGTTTATACCACTAATTACGAAATTAAGCAGCAGGCAACCAACGAAAGCAAGATTACAAACTATAATAATACTAGAAGCTGAAAAGGACACTTAAATGACTGGGACTTTCACGCGCGTATAAACTGGGATTTTTTCTCCAAAAATAATGTTTATGGAAGAATTTAATGCTTCAATACAATTGGGCACTCGGGAGTTTTTCTTCGAATATAACATTCATGCAGGAACAGATTGGATTACTATTGAGGCTACAAATCTATATTGTACAAAACATAACCTAACAAGTTTTAAATATGCTGAATCTCGAGAGAGAGTATGTTGAAACTCGGGAGAAATAGCTCTGAGAGCTTATTGAAATTTGTAATTTGTAGCGATCCGGTATACATTCACGCTCCACCATCCATCATCCCTAGTTGTTAGTTAGGAGAACTAGTTTAAAGTTTCTCCAAGTAAAAAGCCTGCAGCCTAGCGCCCATCATCAAATAAACATCTTGAATAGTGACTTGAATCTGTGAACAAGCTCAGTGAATCTGCCACTATATGACCTTGAGATTTGTTGGGCTTTTGGGACTGGTCTCATTTTTTGGGGATAACATGCAACCAGCAACTAGGGAGTCAGCAATATGCATCAGCACCCAAATAATGTCGACTAACCAGCTGGAGTTACAGTCGATCTTTGAAATAATGACATTGTCCATTTGAAGTCCAGCACAAGACTTTGCTGAAATTCTATTTACTCTGCTAAATTGCTTTGGATTCAAGTTCAAATAGCCATTCATAACTCATCCTGCCTTCTTTTATTATCTCATAGCAAACGAATGATTTCCTTATCCAACCATTGGATCACGACATATATGTGACACATTATAGCTCAACCAAAACTGCAACAAACGGAAACAAAAATATGTACTTTTTTTTATTATTCAAACTGAAAACATAAAATACAATTACTTCTCTGTACGTGCTATTTAGAAAGAAAAAAACAGGGGAAAAACAAAAAAATCTTACAAAAATTTCTCTCAACCCTCCGTTTCATGACCAGCACTTGGACTTGAAGTAGACACATCAGAAGAATCAATTGAAGGATTTTCATTCGAATCTCCATTTCTCCTATTACCATTAAAAGCAAAACTGATCCAAATCTCTCTTTCAGCTCTCCTCCTCTCTCTCCCTCCATCTCCCTCAGCTCTTTTCTTCCCCAACTCATCCTCATCAACAGGCATCTTGTACCTGCAAACAGGGCAATTCCCATGAATCTTTAGCCACTTCTCTACACAATTACCATGGAACCTATGCTTACAAGGCATCTCCTTTGCTTCCCCGCCAAGCTCCCACTCTTCTAAACAGATAGCACACTCGCCATCTTTATTGTCTTCCCCTATCTCCACACTTGGAATGGCCTCTATGGATGCTTTTGAGGCTGGTGGCTGGCCGCTCTTGTTACCTACGTCTCTAAGTAAAGATTCAAGATTTGCAGCCCCTTCAATCACCACCATACCTTGGGTGAAGGGGTTTACAAGGATGATTCTTTCATTTTGGTCAGATGTTTGTGGTGTTTCTTGATCTGGGTCACGTTGCTCTGTGGTGTTAGTGGAGCCGAACCCTAATATAAAAGGTAAAAACAAAGAGAGGTCTCTATTCCTCAAAAACCTTTCAAACATAGTAGAAAATTCAGGAGGTACTTCGGTCTCAGAGGCCATAACGAACTAGTAGTTGTTTAGATTGTGAGGGAGGGAGGAGAGAAGAGAGAAGCTTCAGATTTGCAGTAAATTATGAGATATTCACGAGGCACAAATGATGGAGTTTATAAGAAAAAGAACGGTGTGCCAACAGGAAACTTGTGGAAAGATCTAGAACAAGTCATGTTAATATGTGATGTTTATCTTCTCCCCACTACAAGGCTGAGGGTCATTTTCAATGAAGACTTCGAACAAAGTAATATTTTTCTGGGAAGAGGATATGGTAGGAATTAATTATAAATTAGTATTAGTAATAGTAGTTTATCAAAATATTTTAATTAGTTATCTTTTTATAAGATAAGCTTTTTTTATAGACAAAATCTTGCTGTCAACATCAGTAGTAAATCAGCAAGGATTAAATAGACTGAATTGATCACGGTTATAAAGATAAAAAATTATTCTGATTTTTTTATCATATATATATATATTTTTTTTGTTAAACTCAAATATTCTAGAATGTAAAAAATTTATTTTCACTCTATTAGAATTTTTTAGTAGACAATTTAATACTACTCTTTACTATATAATTCATTGCAAATCAATTCTAGTGAAAAGATTATTAATTTATCAATAAAGTGATTGATAAATTACAAGTATTGATTTATAATTAATTCGATATGGTAGTACTTATTTCCTTTCACAAAAATATGGATCTTATCTTTATGTGAGAAGATAGCTAATAATTTCTTCTCTTGACCTGGCCTGTTTGGTATCGGCGTATTGCACCTTTTAGGTTGTGCCACTTGCGGTACCTAACAAGGCAAAGGCAAAATCATCAAGGATCAATCATTCTTTCACTTGCTTTTCTTTCTGTCGGTATGGATGGGACCCATCTTTTGTGTTTTTTTTCAATATTGCAACTGTTTATTTTCTCCCTTCTTTTCTATAATAAAGTTTGAAGGTTTGTTTGGAGAAAAATAAGTTTTAAGAAATTTTTTTTTAATATTTATTTTATATTTAGGAAAAAAACTAATGAGAAATGATTTTTAGTTAATGAAAAATTATAAAGTATTTTTGAGAAAATATTTTCTCAATGTCAAAAGAATAAAACATTTTTCTTCGCACGAACTGTTTCGTTTTTACATTACTTACCCATCTCTTAATATATTTTAATATTTTTTTCTCTATTTTTTTATTTAAAATATATCATATTAATTTTTAATTATTCCTTATCAATTATTATTAATTATTTAATTATTTTTTTCTATTTTTACTAAAATTTGATTTTTATTTATTTATAGATATCTTAAATATTCTTAAAAATAATTTTTACACCTTAAAATTATTTTTATAATAAATATTTCAATAATTTATCTCTATTTTTTTTACAATTATCTCAAACACAACCTAAATTATACTTAAATTATTGAAAATGATTATTACAAGACTATAATTTTTTGTAAAAAAATTCAAAATAATTAATTCATCAATAAATACGTTATTTTTTTTAACACTATTCATTTTCAATTAAATCAATAATTTTTAATTTTAATTAATTGTAAAATTTAGTTGGTAATTATAGTGAATAATTGTTACAAATTATTCCAACATTAATCTTTTGAGATCAAATGAACAATTATCTATAAATGATAACTAATAACTTATAAAATTATTTTTCAAACTAAATTATCGGTTCAATTTCTAAAAAAAAAGAAAAAATTCTTAATTGAGTTAACAAAATAATAATATTAGGATTACTTAAATTTTTTTTTACTAAATGTGAATATTGACTTGATTTTGCTCAAGTAATTTTGATGAATAATTTTGATAGTTAAAAAAGTATATTTTATTTTTTAAATTAAAATTTTAAAGTTAGTATTTGTGAAAATTTATTAAAATTTTCTAAATGTATATTATATTGTGAAATTATGAATGTATCTTTTTGAAGTGTTTTCAAAACTTATTTACATAAAAATCACATATGTTTTTATATTTTAATTTTCTGTATGAAACCAACACTGGAATATATTTTTCAATAATTTTTTTATATAATTATTAAACGGTAAAATATATATTTTTAAAAATTAATTTTTTAAAAAATAACTTTCTTATGAATGGATCTTCCTATGAAATAATTTTTCTCCCAAACAAAAACAGCCAACGTCATTCACAAGTTTTAACCGTAGAAATTAAGGAAAAAGCTGTAAAGTTGACAACGCAAAACCCATGGTTTTCACCCACAAGAACACTACCAGGAGAACCCTTATTGGCCAAATGGAGCTTCTTGTTCCCTCTGGCGACATCTAGAAGTGAGTTCATTTGGAACCTTCCACAATACCTGGTCCTGTCTCAGGTTAGTTTATTTGGTCAGTGCAGTATTTTCTTGGAGGATGCTCATATATTTTAATGCCCTGTTGAAAGTTTTAGTTAGTTGGATAGCTGAAAAAAAATTGGACACGTATTACCCTTTTTTTCTTTTTTAATCTTCGTATGACTCTTTTTTATTAATCAGTTTTTTTTTTTTTCTAGTCCCAATTTTTAATTTTAATAGAAGTATGAACGAATCCCACATGGTGGTCCACGTAGACGAAGAGGGTACTTTTAGTTTGCAAGATTAACTCTCTCACAGGAATACTCACGTCAACTGTTTGATAAAATTCCTGAATGAAAATTTGTTATTTTAACCGCTTGTAGGTTCCCTGCTATTGTAAGCTCTTCCTTCCAGCAGTTTTGGTTCATTTGGTTTCATGTTTCAACAACTATGTGGTACGATGGCTCTTAAGAGTGTTCCTTCTGCACTCCAGTTCAAGACTTGCGATCTCTTTGGAAACCCTTTAAAACCTTTTAATATCTTTCCAATACAAACTAAGAGTAAGTGAAGCACATTCGAGCAAACGAAACTTTTTAACTTTCTTAGTTTAGCATTTTTGGTGTGATGTAATAATTCCCTCTCAATTTTATTCTAGATTTTCAAATGAGGACATTAGTGGCCAAAAGAAGAGCAAATACTCGAACGGAAAGTGCGAAAATCAGAAATAGAAGAATACTAAAGAAGGTATGCTTTATAAATAACTACAGAAAAGTTTTGCTACTTGATGCTTGGCCATTTGTGAAATTTGAATGGCTCTGTACTAGAACTAATTTATGAATATATGAGATTTTCTGTTAAAACATGGATGGTTCTTGAACTGATCCATTTTCTTGATTGTAATGGTTTGCTTATCCAATGTTATCTTGATTTTCGAATGCTTTCACCAGTTTAACGGCACACGAACAAAACCAAGGCTGTCAGTTTTCTGTTCAACTAAACAGTTGTATGCTATGCTGGTAGATGACCAAAACAGAAAGTGTTTATTTTACGGAAGCACTTTGCAGCAACCTTTACGCAGCGATCCCCCTCGTAGCACCATTGTAAGTACTCTTTCATGATTAGAGAATTGCGAGAGAGAAAAAGAAAAGAAAAAAAAGCTGTTAGTATTAATGGTTAAGAAATATCTTTATTGATATCTGCTGCCGATTTTGAATATCATCAAAAACTATGTGCGTGTCCAGTGCCAATATTCTTCCTCTTTGAATCTCATGATTATTGTTTTTGCAGGAAGCTGCTGAATGTCTTGGCGAAGAGCTCATTAAGGCCTGTATGGATCTTAAGATCAATGAAATATCATCTTATGATCGCAATGGTTTTGCTCGTGGGGAGAGAATGCAAGCTTTTGAGATTGCAATTTCTCGTCATGGATTCTTACCAAGATAGACATGCGCTAGTTTTTTCACTCTTGTCAAATGAACATTGATAACTCCTCTGCATTTGTTTTTTTTTTTTTCCTTCCCAAAACAAACAATCCATTCACCAACATGGGTTCTGTAACTGAGTCCTACTGTCCTAGTACAAGCAGAAGGGTGTTAAGTCCTTTATTAGTGCCAACTAGTCTGAACTTTGGCCCAAATTTCAGCATAACTAAGAATCCAAATGATAAGCCAACTGAGTAAAGGGTTTTCTCTCCCTTCACTCCAATTCAATCTGATCTCTAACGTATTTAAGTCAAGGTTTTTTTTTTCTTTTTTTACAGATAAAGTGTATTTTTCGGAACGGTTTGAAGTGAATGCCAGCCATTCGGACTTGGGAGGCAGTTACTAACCGTTTGACACTATTAGAAATTGAAATTTTTATACAGTTACCGTTGAACTCTTATAAAAGCCCAAAACCCATCCATTCTTACAACAAGAACTCTCTCTCTCTTCATTTCAACCCATAATTTTTATCAATCTCTCGACAAGAATTTTCTCTTTATTCTCTCCTCTCGTACTTCAAAATAACATTGTTGTCAGCCAGCGAAAATGGAGCAAACTCCTGGAGAAGAAATTGGAATCAGAATCTACTCTGCATCCCCACAAAATGAACCAAAAGTAACGAAAAATTCTACTGGATCCTCACAAAACGATGAACCAAATCCACCAAAGCCATTATGTACCCTCACTAAAGCCCCTAAAGAACCAGGCAGCAAAAGGAGAGCCGTGGGTAGAGGAATGCAAAAAACAATCTCCAAAACATCAATGCTTGTTAATTTCCTTCCTACAGGCACCCTTTTGACTTTTGAAATGCTGCTTCCATCAATATACAAGAATGGATTGTGCACTTCTGTTACTGCCCTGATGATCCATGCTCTTCTTGGCCTTTGTTCCCTTTCCTGCTTTTTCTTTCATTTCACTGACAGTTTCAAAGGCCCAGATGATAACGTTTATTATGGTTTTGTCACTACAAAAGGGTTGGCTGTTTTTAAGCCTGGTCTTGCTGTTGCTGTGCCTAAAGATGAGAGGTACAAAATTGCGTTTACCGATTTTCTTCATGCAACTATGTCCGTGATGGTCTTCATGGCAATTGCGTTGTCGGATCATAGAGTGACTGATTGCTTGTTTCCTGGACATGTCAAGGAGATGGATGAAGTGATGGAGAGTTTTCCTCTAATGGTTGGTGTAATTTGCAGTGGCCTGTTCTTGGTGTTCCCTACCAGTCGACATGGCATTGGATGCATGTCTAATTGATTATTATTAGTGTGTTTTTGTTAGTAGAGTGACTTTTTCTTTATTGTCTCCAGTTCGATAGATCGGCGTTTGGTAAAACTCCGTTGTTCAAATGTCGAGTTAGACATGTTTGTATTTGTTATATTCTACTGCTAATGAGAGATTTTTTATTTTTTCCCTCTTATGATCATTAGACTTTCTTTTTTTCTTTCTTTCCAAATGCATTTAGAATTTTATATTCATAGACAAACAGAATGGCATGCATGGGCTCAATGGTTTCAATCAACATACATGTGGATAAATTTAAGCGAATAGATTACAAATTGTGGATAATTTAAGTGTGGATTACAAAATGGTAGATACTTCAAAAATACTGAGGACATTTTCGGGGATCTAACAGGGAAAGGGTGAAAAAAAGTAAATTTAAAAAAGAAAGAAAGTATTGCATTTATTATAAGGGCAAAAAGACTACGTTATGACGAAAAGAATTTCTATGAAGTTCTTACAAGATGGGAAACTCTTCTGTACAAGGCACTAATTTCTCCTATCACTAGATGTAACAATCTAACGTGTAATGATTATACAACGGCCACACCTATTTTTGCGAAAGGCCTTGAGCCGATGCCTCCTCTCTAGTGAGACTCTATTTGCTCAATCTGGTTCGCAAAATTTTCAATAGAGATTGGTTAAGGAGATTATTCTATTAAAGCATGTGGTTATGTATAGCCTTCATGACAAAAAATGATCAAGCTTATCAATCACTGCAGCATCTAGCACCCTTTCCTTCCTGAAGTTTCTGCCATAGACAAATCATTTCCCTAGGACCTTGGTAGTGCGCAACAACATAGCCATCCTTGCACCCTTCATTATGGACCCTAACTTCCATCTCATATTTAACTTCTAAACCCTCCTTTTTCATTTCAGCAATCCAGATACCCATTGCTACATCTTCTAGCTTAAACATCTGCCAAATCAACCATAAACAATTTTTCATGTTGAGAAATATAGAGTTGACTGTGGGTGGTTTGGAACAATATAGTTTTTTATGCTCTACCAAAATACTAGACTGCAATTCGTTGATTAATATCATTCTTATTATACCTTTAAACGACCTTCTTTGTATCTCTTGTAAACTGCTTTGGCAATGTCACGTGACACCACATAACCAGGACCATGCGCCCAGGGGGATATGTTCCTTCAGACCATTCCTTTCAGAGCATAAACAAAAAACAACGAGGATAAGTAATTAGCAAAAGATTAAAAGAACTAGCTTTACAGTTAGATCATAAAGCTTCATTAAGGAAGGAGGTTGACTTCGCATTCATCTATACCGGGTAACTATACCTGCATCTGAGTTAAACCAACCTAAAATTCCAGGGTCCTGCTTGAAAGCCTTGCAATAAGAGTATTTACCAGATCTTTTATATATGATGGGTATTTATTTGTGATATCAGTGTTTGGGTGAATCTGCAAAGAATTGTGTTTATGAAAAGTTGCAAGTTTTGGTTGACCAGCCAAATGTGGAACTAACACGACCAACTGTACTGCATTAGCAGCATACAAGTAGAAATTTTTTTTTTTTTTTTGTGATTATATAGTATAAGCATGATCTCCAAAATTATTCCAAATTGGTAAAGAAAAAGGAACAATTTTAAAGAAACTAGTAATCATTTGCGGCCTTCTACATATAAATAGGGTGGTCAAGAGTGGAGAATTACCTCAGGGCTAATGTACCACTTGCTTTCAGTACTCCTATGAGGCCGAGAGTCTGAATTGATTAGTCCATAGAGCAACCCATGACTCACTTTGATCCTATTTAAAGAAGCTAACACTTCATCCACGCGAACAAACGCATCATCATCTGTCTTCATGACATACTTAGCAGATGCAACCTCTGTCTGTTAAAGAGATGAGTTCAATAAGGTAAAGTTCCAGTCATCAGTATGTCTAAATAAGAGACAAAAATGTACCCCAAAGATGCAGATAGCTAAAGTTTTATAGGTGATGAGGTTGTAGTAGTCAACAAATGGCATCAACTGTACGTCTCCATATGTTCGTGCTTCATTCCAGAGTTCCTCATTTACTATTTGATTTTTATGCTGCAGCACACACCTCAAATTGTTAGTGGCCAGCAAACAGGTTTACTTAATCATAACTATACACCATAAACCTTTGGTTTGTCCTACCAGAACATGAAATACACAAAACCAGTTATTAAAGGCTGTAAAACAAATTGATGTTACCACTGCTGAGACCACCATCACAAATGGCTCAAGTAGAAACTCAGGACCTGCTATAAAAGGAATGCTCCTTTCATGGCAAGGTCAATGAATTCTGATTTCAGTGAGGTGCACAATCCTTAATCTGGAAAAAATTTCTTTTCTCCAATTATTTGGTCAATATGCATCACCCACATAAAGATTACTTCATGAAAAGAAGGAATTTATATAAAGCTCACCAGACCAACAAAAAAGCGCACTGCAACTGCCCCTGATCGCACTGCAGCATACTGCATCCATGTTCTTCGAACAGCCATCCTGCGCTTAAAATTGTTTGCCGTAGAAAAAACACCAATAAAGAGATCCAGTGATCTTTCTGGAGAGAGAGGTATTGATTTGAGTACTTCTAGATCAATTGCATGCTCCGAATCCTCTGATGTAGGTAGACCACTAGCCACAACTGAAATTAGCTTTAGGTCCCCAGAAATCCGAACTTCACTAACTAGCCATGGCTCCAAAGTCTGAACAGACAACAAAGCAGCGAGCAAATGAATTCAAAGAAACTGGCATGCTAAACTAAATTCCAAAAGTAGCACAAACATCAAAGTAAGGAAATTACTTCATGGTATGCAAAAGACGTTATGTGCTTTCCATCAACAGTGGTCTGGATTCCTTCCATTCCCACTCTAAGCGTTGCAACAGATAGCTGACCTTGCTTAAAAGGAAAATATCGTCTTGCTTTAGTTCCTTCCTGAAGCGAAGATCTTCTTGAATCATCAGAATGCATGCTAGTCACCCGAGTATCATTTATGCCCACCATCTTATTACATTGATCCAACTCATCCACTGCCATATAAAACTAATAGAGTTATCACCACATAACAGAGTTAATAACCATGTCACAAACTTTAACTGACTTTGGCTGGACAAAAGGTATAGACGACAGCAGCCGGATACCACATCACAAAATTTAGTTTTAGAAAGTTTCATCTAGATACAATTTGATTAAGTGATCAATGTGTAAGCATCCCAGTCATGAGCCATGTCACAAAATTTAGTTTTGAATATAACAAAAAAGTGGCAGATATTTCTACCTTTCTTATTCTTTTCAGGAGATGGAGAAGGACATCGTTCCTCTTCACCCCAGTCATGAGCCACAGTCCAGGTGTTTTGGACTATTACTGGATCCTCCGTAATCTTATCACCATGAAGCCTAACATTGTAATGTAAAATGATGGGTGGATCAGGCTCCCCCGGAAGTGCTTCCCCAGTTAAGTCAATCCGAAAATTGCCAAGAATACCATCTGGAATGCCGATGATTGTGATGGAAGAACCCTGAGTCAGGCCACAAGGAAGCCGCAATTTATAGCCACTATTATCATCAAGCTCTGTTGCATTCATTTTGTTTAGAAAATGACGACATTGTTTCTCTTTCACTTTCCTATTTGAGCTTTCATTTGTATAAGCAAGTCTTTCCTCTTCAACTGAAGCCATTAGGCTGCGCCATGCATTTCCAGCTTCCTTAATAGCTTCTACTCCATTCGGTAAACCCTGAGCATGATCAATCAAATGTTTCAGTAGATTCCATGTCTGCAGAGATATTTGCTCTTCATTGGAAATATTTCTCTGAGCAAACAGACTGGAGACTATGGTATCTGTAGAAAAAACTTGAGAAGAATTCTCTGGATTTTGAACTGCAGGTGGAAGAGTAGGATGCACCCATTCAAGAGGCTTACTTGCATTAGAGAAGGGACTCAACAGAAAACTTCCACCAATTGGACTTCTCAGGAGACCATATCTAAGGATCAGTAACATGAACAAGGATGCAACCAGAACACCACCGTACCACTTCTTCATTCTGCTGTTTAGACCAAGGCGCCAAAATTGTTGAAACCTATTTCTCTTGTGGTCGAGCTTAAAGGAAAATATATCCCACAATTGATGATCTTCATGTGAACGAATCTTTTAAGAGTAATTTTTGCAATGGAAGTCCAGAAGCTGAGGTGCTAAGAAAGAGGAAAAGATTGATATATCCAGCACATACAGTCGACATCTTCTGATTTTCAGTGAGATAAACACCAGAATCTGAGACACAGATGTAGAACTATCATTTCATTTTCAAATAAGTTTTAGTTCCTCTTATTCTCGGTCAGCTATCAACAGAGAGTTGTAATTATATACTTCAGTCCTGACAAACAGCGGCTGAATTGCTCAGGAATCAATGCCAACTTCACCACACAACTTAAATAAATGTTTCTCACAAGACTGTCAATCTGCAAGGTTCCAAATTCATTCATCTGTTAATAAGTAGAAAATTTTGCTAAGAAAACGCCCTGAACAATACACATTTAGTACAGGCTAAAGGTTCCATTAATGATCACGATATGCAAAAATCTTAAAAATAACCAAAATTCAAGATAACATGCAGTCCATACAGTACTTAGGAAACTCAATACTGGATTTGAGAAAAGGCACACAAATGAACCAATTTTAATGGAACACAGGGAGGAGCTTCACCTTGCAGGAAAATACTGTTTAACAATAAAACTGGAAGCAAGGCTTGCTTTCTTGAGATGAGTTTCTTCAGAAAGCTTCAAAAGCACCATCAAAGTGATCACAAGCAAATCATATGCACCTCGAATCATTCCCAAGATCAACTCTCAAAACAAGAGCCATCTCCTTTAACTTTGATAAATTTCCCGACAAAAGTGACTACCACAACATTTTTCATGAAACCCATCGTATATATTGTACTAAAACATGAAACTAACGAATAAGTCAACACAGTCAATGCCTTCCCTAGCCCACTACTATTGGTCCAATAGGAGGTAGCAGGAAATATCCTACTTCAGTGGCTCTATTATTATATCCCTTGATAACCTAAAAATACGCGAGAAAAAAGTTTCCACCATTTAAAATCATGTTATGACTTCTTAACTTCTTGACCTGGTAGTGGCAAACAAATACAACTATGTAATTACAATTATACCAAACGTCGAACTAATGACGTAGGGACCACCTTAGATTTAATGCTTGATTATAAAACTATTACTCTCATAAATTTTAATCAAAAACCGAGTTTGCAAAAATTAAAATTGCTTCAAGCTGATTAATTATGTTCCTTTACTAATTATACAAACTTGGGTAAAGAAATATCCAATCGCTTTTCCTCTTTGTTTTTCCTCTTTTGTGAAATAACGTTTTATTTGAAAATTACTAAAATTCAAACCATTGACATGGAAAAATTAACAAAAACAGAGGAAAAAAATGTTTAGACATTTGCATCATCTAGAAATCTCACACATTGGTGCAACCTCCTGTTTGTTTCCCGAGAAAATGCAAGAAAATAAAACCACGAATCTCAAAACAAAAACACCGATTCGTAAACATTAGGACATGCAGCCAGCTTCACTGAAAGAGAATTTTCAAACTTCAGACAAAGAATTAAATTCTTTCTCGGCTACATGATTTTCTCAGAAACCAAAAAGACCTTGCATATACAGATGAAATCAGAAGAAAAGGAAAATCAGACAGATCTAAGAAGAGTGCAGCAAATCAAAATTAAAGCGAATTTGAACTAATTAAATAGACAATGTAAGGAAAGGTTGTTAAAAGAGCAACAGTGTGGTAGTAACCGCTTCGGGTAACTGAACTAAATAAGCTAGGAAAAACTAACCTCTTTTCTTTTCTTTTCTTTTTCAATTTTGAATCTGCAGAGAAGACTGGAGAGAAATGAGGGTGGTTGTGTTTTAGTGTTGTATCTTTGTCGTTTTGAACTACAACTAACTATTATGCTTCGAGGGTGGGAAAGGAAAAGAAAAGGAATGCAAAGGAAAGGGAGATGATAAATTCCTTGTGCGAAAAATAAGTTTATACTGTGATCAGTTAGACTAGTCAACTATGGAAAGATGTGAGAAAATACCCCATTACTATTCTGTTTGTGCTTTTACTTTTCACTCCACTTATTTAAATATGGAGGCATCTTTTCTTTTTCTTGTCTAAAGCCCGAGCCTGAGCTCTTTTTTTAGTCTTCTTTTATATGGACTGACTGTTGGAGGCTTGCTGACTTCCTGTTGTGTCTTTGCTCTTGAGATCCCATTGCCGTTCGTGATTTAGAGGAACTTATTTTAAAAGAGACCGATACATTTACTAAAATCTTTTAAACACGCAATTCACTTCATGATATATATATTTATATTAAAATTTATCTTTTACAGAATATTTTTATTTATCTCGAAATGGTTTTTTTTTCTTTTTTACTTATAAGGGATTAGTTGGTGTAAGGATTGTTGAATTATTCTGCATTCAAAGTCAATGTTCCGAATAATATTATGTTTAAGAATCTAAAATCCTCAAAATTAAATGAAAAGAATCACATTCTCATATACGATGTATTCAAGACGTGTTTATGGTTTGGTATTCTGAATAATTATCCAGAACTTGAACCTAAGCTTGAAAATCAGGTTTAATATTTTTTTACAAACTTGAACTTGAACCGTGCTACTAAAAACCCTATAGATTCGGTTAATCGAAGTTCAAGTTAATCTGATTCTATTCATAAACATGTGCAATCATTAAAAAAAAAAAACTTATCAAATAGCTTTAAGCATCAAGTTAAATTTTTTTAATCTTTTAATTAAAACTTCAATTCTTATAAATGTCACAGCTTGACATTGAGTTTTATTTTTCACGCTGTGTAATATTTATAATTAATTTATTAACACTTGAATTTATTGTAGTTTTTTTTTATATATAACTACTGTAATAGCGTATGATTGTATAATTGGCGGAGTAATGTAACAACATATGACTGTATAGTTTTCTATATTTAGTTCATAGTTACTACTTAATTTAATAATAATAAATGTGATTTAAAATAATAAAACCATGATGCTTATTGAGCAATTAGTATATTTTGATAAACAATCCATTCAAAATTGCTTTTGTATCTACTTACTATGTAAACAATTGATGTCATAATATCAAGGTAATTTAATAAAACATAATTATTCTTGTTAAGTTATTACTAATTTGTACACTTATATATACTAATTATTCATTAAAAACCTAACCACATTAATTATTTACTTACGTCTACACTCGTATATATTAAAATTCATAAAATCTGATAAAAAGTTAACCAAAACGAATGTGTTTTTTTTTATATATATAAATACGCTCGTATAAACGAATATGATAGGAACTCGTTTAACGTCCAATGTTTTTCCTAAAATCTGAAAAAAATTAATTACTTGACATTCTAATAAAAATTTAAATGTAGTTAAGTTTGTGAAATTGCTAAGTATAAATTTTTCTTCTAATGTGATGTGATTGTCCATCTTGTTTAGATTTTATATTTGTCGGTTTACCAACTGCAATTGAAATGAATATGAAAATATTGCTTATATGTAACATTAATTATTATTGAGCATGGAGAAGTTTTCAAAGAAAATGAAAAAAAATAAAATTAATACGTGCGTGTGCATAAAGTAACAGGCCCAGTTAGGTTCAATTAACCTAATTTTTTTGTTGCGGTTAGTTATTTTGACACCCTTAGATCTAGATATTCAAGGATGTGGATGCCGAACAGCTTCTAAGGGAGAATTGTAATTAGAGTGTAGTTGACAATATAAAATTAAAAATTAGTGTGGAATTTAATCAGGGAAGGGAGGGTCCGGCAATTGACCGTCAAATCCAAAAGCGAGTGACAGACAGCCGCATCATGCGATCGATGTTTCTTTTCAATATACGTGGCGTTTCATACTAGGATGGTTGTATAAATAACTTTCTTGGTCCTTTCGCTTCCTTATTTTATTTTCTTCCATTTCACTCCATAGAAGGTGATGCTATTGTCACAAGGCTGGCAAGCCTTATGATGACAGTCTCCATTTTGGGATGGCCAAGTAAGCAATTTAAGCCAAATCTGTATTTTGACATATAAAACAATGGGAATATGATCATTAGTAGTACTGTGGATTTTCATGCATTAATGATAAAAACTTACTCTAAAATACTTCTAATTGATTTCTTTTTGAAAAATAATTAAATAATGATGCATGATTTAAATAAATTTAAAATATTTAAAGCAACATTGTTAGTATCTACATTTTTTTATGTAGTTTACGAGTGAGATAAAAAGTTTTATAACTCTCAAAAATTCTAAAAATAAGAACAACAATAAAGCTATAGGAAAAACTTCAAGATCTATGATTTTTATTTAATAATAACTGATGGCTAAAAATTTAAAAGTAGTTTAAATAATTTTTTGTTAACACATAAGAAAGAAATATAAAAAAATAAAATATTTAACAAATTCGAAAACATTCAAAACTTAAGTAAAAATGAGAAGAAAGATAAATAGAAAAGTTATAATTTCTAAACAGCAATGATATGAGTCTGGATCACAAAAGAGATTGAAAGTAATCATTAAGAGTGAATTTTAATTTTTTTTTAAAACATATAATGACTTTGCATCACCACCAAATTATGCATTCCTGAATTGCTTTTTCAAAATGATAAAATTTATGTTATTTGAATACTCGAATAAAAAATTATATTTCATAAAAAAAAATAATTTATATTTATCTTTCGAATTTATTTTCGTAAGTTTATATCTATGGATCCACTTTATAAAATTATCACTTTCTTGTACCACGTCATCCCTCGCCAAAGTTTTGAGCCTCTCATTATAATTGTTGAGGGGGGGGGGGGGGCAACTTTTTCAACAAGTCTACGCCAATACAAGTCAATAAGGGTAGGGCCCCATAAATGATGTCAGCGTTCTCCTTGATTAAAGGCAGGGAGCTGGGCTGTGATGAAAACTGGTAACCATCATGTTAAACTAGATTTGTTTTGTTTTGGCAACGAGTATAGTATTTTGTTGCATGCTTTTACTCGTACCTGTAAACTTCTAGTTTCTAACGTCGAGCCTAAACATAGTGAATGAAGTAGCTGCCTAGGCCAGTTGTGTGGATTATTATAACTACGTTTGTTAGTTACTTTGTTGGGCCAAAGGCTACTTAATTAAATTTAAGTAATTTATCTTATCTTGTGTTTGATTAAATTAAAAATTTAAACTAAGGACAGTATACGATCCTTTGTGTGCAGATAAAACGTAGCTTTCTAAGCAAAGTTGCGTATGAGAATAAACTAAGAGCATGGTGCAGACCCGGTCGGCAACACTGTTTTACAAAAAAAAATAATAATAACAATAATAATAATTAAAAAAAAAGATGGAGCAATGAGAAAATAAATACTTTAAAGTGGAGCTTGTTTAGAACATCGACCTGTGAGAAGGACGGCACAGCTAATTTCGCAACCTTCGACTTTACTTATAAAGAAATTAATGGCATTAAGCTAGCTACCTTTTAATTATATCTATGTGTCTTTAGCAGCAAGATTGGTTAGTGATTTCTGGCTTTGGAATTTATCCCTTTGAAAAGGGATAATGCTCTACGTACTCTTCTACATAGTAAATAACAACTGATATATTATTAGAAACTTAATTTGATTGTTAAATGAGTTTTTTTTTAATTAAATCTTAAAGGAGCGTAAGAAAATAAATTATTATGCTTTGATTCGGCACTGGTCTGCTGTCGGTGGTCTACTCATAATCATATAGTAGTAGCTGCATAATGTAACAATA